GCTCTATCAATTTGTAATGCTGTTCATCAAATTAAAAGTTGAATAAACTCTTTAAAAGTCCTCAATTGATGCACGTAAGAGTTACATGTATACAGTTACAAAACTATGATGGTGTCATGTGGAAATATCTGTCCATCTATCTATCTCTATGTGTATCCATCCATCCAACCATCGTTTATCTGTCTATCATCCATCCATCTATCATACTCTATCAATACATCCATCCATCATCTATCTTTCTATCCATCTATCTATCTATCCAACCATCCATCTATCTATCTATCTATCTATCTATCTATCTATCTATCTATCTATCTATCTATCTATCTATCTATCTATCTATCTATCTATCTATCTATCATCTATCTATCTATCTATCCTATCTATCTATCTATCCATATATCTATCTATCCATATATCTATCTATCCATATATCTATCTATCTATCTATCTATCCATATATCTATCTATCTATCTATCTATCTATCTATCTATCTATCTATCTATCTATCTATCTATCTATCTATCTATCTATCTATCTATCTATCTATCTATCTATCTATCTATCTATCATCATCCATCTATCATCCATCTATTGTTTATCTGTCTATCAATCAACCAATCCATCCATCTATCTCACTTTGCCTATATTTTTCATTAATGCTGGCCTATATATTTCCTCTAAAGTGTAAAGGTAAAAAGTTCAATCTTAAAAACCTGATCGTTGAATTCTGTTTGAATACGAGTCTCTATTATCTTCTAGACTGACCGGTTTCTGTATTCTTATTAAATCACAATGAGAGAAAAAAAAAATATAGGCCTATATCAAAGACTTGATAATTACATTCCAATCTGATGCGAGAAAGAATAAATCGTCACTTTTCTCACATTAGTCCATCAGAGCCACACAGACTGAGATTGAAGCCAACACAATAAAAACAGTTTTCGTTTATGGCCGTTTAGCCTATACATTAATAATTGAACAGAGATCGTGTCTATCATTACGAAGTTTCTTATGCACATTTTCTTTTTCAGGAGAGATACACAAACTTGATGAAAAGTTCATGACGATGTGTGTAGAGAGAGTCGTGTTTTAGTGCCAGTGCAAATGTCTCCACAACTGAGGCGCAACAAGTCTCGTGCGCGCGCCTGACGGGAGATGGCACTTCATTTCTTTCTTTCTTTCTTTCTTTCTTTCTTTCTTTCTTTCTTTCTTTCTTTCTTTCTTTCTTTCTTGAGAGAAAAGTGACGATTCATTCTCGTTAAAGGCATGCATTTTATAACAATCAAAATGTGCAAAACTCGGGCGCGCGCGGCTACATTATTCTCTTGTAAATTGTAAATCTTTAATTAATGGTGTTGGATTAAATAGATTTGGATTTAGATGTAGGCTATGCTGAATTATTGAATGTTGCGGTGTCCTTCAATATCGCTGGAAACATAACACCTACAAATATGAAAATGAATGCGCATTAATTATAAAAAGATTAAAAGTCTATAGACCCACAATTAAACGTTAAACGTTTATGCATGTGCATCACTCTTGGGGTAAAGTTATCTTGCTTTCAGAAAATATTAGAAATCTATGTAAAGAGAAGTATATTTACACATAACATATTATCTGTAGCCTAAATATCTCAACATTATTGAATAAACTGAAATGCAGATAGCCTAGATTTTGTACATGCCGAAAGGGAAGATTGATCCACCAAGGGAATTTGAGCATGAATGAATATGAATTAGTATTAGCACTTACAATCTGTGTTATAGCCTATGCAAATTTCAAAAGCAATTTCATTCAAATGAAAATGCTTTTTGTTGTATTGAACATTATTTGTTGAGTGTCTCCAAAGTCTTGAGTTTTGCTGCACGCATCTGTTCAAAACAGAAATTATTTTAAGGAAACGATTTACACGCTGTTTTATCTTTTGAAGTTCAATTAAAACTTAATCAAAGCAGAATATGCAGATTAGTTTTTTCGATGAAATGAATGGTTTTGCCTCTTTATTCATCATTTAAATCCTCGCTGCTTTGACAGAACATTTCACACGATTACATTTCTTTAGTTTTGATTGCAATTAAGACAGTCTTAATATTAGTGATTACAAGAAATTCTATAGAAATATGTTATACAATAAATCTATTTGCTTATTTTGACTGAGCCTACACAGTTTAAAGCTGATGAGATTTGTTTTGATTCGTTTATCTATCCTTCTATTTGACGCATTTTCATGGATCATCGAGAGATTAATGACTGGACTGATGGTCACTTCTTTTGTTTTTTTAATTTCATATGATCCCGTATAGTTTATTTATTTATATATATATATATATATATATATATTTTTTTTTTTAAGAAAAAAATATTACATTTCACATAAAGTAGCCTACATCATAGTGTAGCCATACTCGACCAAAACGTATAAAAACAGATTTTTTTATTTACCAAAATACTGTTGTCTATGTTTCACCCTCAAAACTCCATGTGTTTGTATGAAAATATATCATCGTAGTTTACTAAATCCACTTTTTAATATTTCCAGGTGTAATAATGACCTCAGTCATGCGCCCCTAGTGTTCAAATTCTGACCTCTATATACTAAAAATATTTTATTTTCTAATAGAAAACCTATTTAATTGTACAGTAGTCTATGCAATAGGGAATTTGGAATCGGGTTTTTATTAATTCGTTTCAATTCATTAATTTCTATTGCAACAATGTGCCAGTGTTTTACGCTCAGATTAAAACATTATAGAATATAACAGGCGGGAAAGAGGCAAGGTTTGAAACCACAGGAAACATTATAATATTTATCGTATTTACCATTACAAAACATTTGAGTAGCAATGAAGTGCTAAAACTAGAGTTTGAAATAAATAATAACCAGTTTATATTTACATTGAATCATTTTTTCATGGCGATCTAAGACCCGTGGTCTGTGCAGATAATACATCGGAATTGCTTTGAAATTACATCATTGTGTAGGCTACTATTCATAAAAAATACCGCATTAAACTGAAATTGCTTGCGTTTTGAAAATTGAGCCACCATGTCCACATGATAGTGCGTCTACACACGTTTGTGTAATTTATTGAGGTGAATTATACGATATACATATTCTACGTGTAATAGTCTATTTTGACACATGCCTGATTCAGTCATGTTAGGCGGATCCGTGAGTGGGCTAACAAATTAGTCGTTTAATCGTAACAATTTAGTCCGATGAAAGTGATTATTCGATTTTTAAATCACTTGGATAATATCATATGGCTAAAATAAATGCAACTTTATGAATTCTGAGAACTAAAAAAACGAGACAAGTAAATATTCAATCTGGAGTGACGCAGTTCGTAATGCATGAAAGATGACTGGACAACTGGGCCACATTTTTCTTTTTCTTTTTTTTCCCTTCACGTCTGGATAAAGAAATGCCCCGCCCACTAACGCCCACTGTGCGAATACTAATTATGAGTATTGTGCTCATAACAATGGAAGCTGACATGCAGCATTTGCAGGAGATTGTTAACTCTCGCGCACGATTTGACGTTTACACACTCGTTAGATTTTTGCCAGTTTGCCACACCACTGTAATCAGTAGCAATTGCTTTGACAAAACAATTAATTTAATAAAACTTATTATTTAGTTATTAATTTGTTTGTTCATTCAGTCGTTTGAATTTTTATATATATATATATATATAGGGCAATTTTATATATATATATATATATATATATATATATAGGACAATTGATTACATTATTCAGAATCATTCAACGATCGCTATGGTATTTCTTTTTCTTTTTTCATATCCCAACTTATATAGGCCTATAGTCTATAAATATATAAAAAACTATATATATATATATATATATATATGTGTGTGTGTGTGTGTGTATACATTATTTTATTTAGAATGTAACGATACATATGGTCGTTTATTCATCCCATCTTATATAGGGTAATTATTATTTACCTATTTAATCGTTGGTGCGTTCATTTATTTATTATTATTTTATTATTATTTATTTATTTATGTTGACTTATTTTCCGTTTATTATTAATTCTATTGGTCAGATTCGACGGTCGATTTAACGTCGTTTCTTCATATAGGCCTACAAACTTATTTATTTATTTACTATTTATTTATTTTTTCTTTCGCCTATTTGTCACACACAATGTCCTTTCAACTTTTTCAGCTTTTGCATTTAATTTCATAAAGCCTACTGTAATATTGTATTTTCTTGGCGTTCATTGTATTTTGACATTGTCATTGAGGATAATGCTGTCACGTAAAAAAAAAAAGTCTGAAAGACTGTAAATGGGTTTTGTGTTACTCGCACTATAAAAATCAAGAACAATATGCATATTTAGAGTCATTTTTAAATAATAGACAGTCTTCAAAGGAAATGTTGAAAATGGACATGCATGCTGGTGTAAATGCTTCTTTTTCAATCTACTGATGCATTTTACATAGGCCTACAACCATTAATTTAGGGCTAAATCTGAACATTGGTGCATTAATAAATAAAATAAAAAACACTTGAAGTTCGAAAAAGCAACGATGATCTGATGTCATAAAACATATTACATGACTCTGAGGAATAATTCTGTTTCACAAAAACACAATCAAATTGCAATTTGAACTGTTGTCAATATTAACACAACATAGTTTCACCTAGGCTACTACACTCTAAAAAATGCTGGGTTGTTTTAACCCAACTTTGGGTCAAATATGGACTAAATTTTTACATTACATTTTTAACCCAACATTTTGGGTTTGTCCATATTTGACCCAAAATTGGGTTAAAACAACCCAGCATTTTTTAGAGTGTATATATAGCCTAATAATAATAATAATACAAATAAATTCAGAAACAAAATATTTTATAAAAAAAAACATGCATTTATGCTTTGCATAAAAAAGCAAATAGGCCTACGTAGTCTAATTCAGAAGTGAAGCGCACCAACACGTCTCTAAAGCACGGTTCAGTGTCGTACCTGTGTTTCCGACAGATTGAGCTGTCTCGCGAGCTCCGTGCGCTCGCGCCCGACCACGTACTGACAGCGCGTGAACTCGAGCTCGAGCCGGTAGAGCTGCTCCGCCGTGAAGGACGTGCGCGTGCGCTTCGGCCGGTCCAGATCCAGGCCTTTCGGCAGCACGATCTCCCGGATAGTGCCCTTGGCGTCTGTTCGGGACACACACACACACATCATTTAGGCTACTTATTTTGTGTTGAGATAGAGACACATCTCTTAGATTATAACGAGTAGGAGAACCCTAAATATATTGTGACGCGTTTAAAAAAAACCGGTATGAAAATAAGTGTTTAGGTAGGCCCTATTTGTTTTTCATAACAGGACACTAGAACTTAGTTCAACATTAAGGCTTGTATTCCTTACTCGTTTAACTGGGTAATGATAAAGCAGGCTAGTTTAATCGAGATTTTATTTTTATTTTACCAATATGCAGTTTCTGCACACAACTGAGTTTCCAAAGGACTTGCAAAGAGAAGCTCAGTATCTTGATGATTTTGCCCTTCTGCTGAGGTTTGGCATTATGTTACATTTGTGGACATTTTCTATTGGTCTATCAAATCATAAAATAATAATAATAAAAATAAAAATGTTATTATTCATCCAAGCAGACCAGAGCTTAGAATTACATTTGGCAATCATTTTCAGACTACATTGTTTTTAAATCAGGACTGACATGACATCAGATCTCATGATGTCAGATAATATAGTAAAGTATGTCTGTGCTATAAGTATAATGCAATATACGTTCCATCAGAAGGATTATGCCTTGGATATATATATATATATATATATATAGTTGGAAGCCATAACCAAAGCAACATTTTTATTTATCATCATAAGTTGTTTTGAGTGTGTGTGCATGAGATGCAACAATATCATTAAACCCAACATTATTATCCTCAGGTAACTGAATTAAACACAACTATTCGAGATAACCGTTTATTGATGAAACCAAACATATTAAAGATATTTTTAAAAGATGTTAAACACATTGTTTCTCTCATCTTATCATTGGTTTAAAGAAATTTAAAGTAGCCTAAAATAAAACCGTACCAAAACTGCATTATTATGAAATAAAGACGGAAAAAAAATCATACATGGCAATGAATCATATCTGTCAGGGTGGGAGTACAAGATACTTAACTTTCCAGAACTTTAAACCCGGTCATTATTAAACTATATGATATTATTAGAATGGATTCAATCAGCTCTGTTTTAAAATGATGTAGTTAATATTTAGCCTGACATTCATAGCTCCGCCTATCTGGATGTCTGCCTGGCAACCAAGCTCAGTATATAGTATCACACTTGGATGAACTGTAGGCTGATATCACAATAAGATGAATGGTATTTGTTGATAAAGAGCACAGATGTTAATGGCGAAAGCGTCTGTAATTGCGTTTTCCTCGCGGTTTAATATCAGCGCGAGCTCATCGAGCATGACGACACAGACGAGCTGACCTCTCCGTGACCCCGGTTCTCACGAGGACTCCGGCGCATTCAATAGCAGCTTTAAAAACAAATAGTGACACCGGGGATTATGTTGGGATTGTGGGCTGACTGAGACACTATTGCACGACAGTTTCAATTTCACAAAGCATTTTGTGTCCATCTGAATCATAATTCTTGGTATTTAAGAGCATTTAATCATTTCATTTTAATAATTTCATTGCCACAAATATGGCTAAACTGAAAACATAAATGCACTGAAAAGTCTAAGTTCAAAACATTGCTATTAACAATACATATTAAAAGTCGTTATACGGCTGCATGATGCAAACCATTCCGATGACGGTAAAATATTTAGTGCATTGATATGCATGTATTATTTAAACATTATTACCACACCTGCTCGTCTTTTCTTTTTTTTAAACAGAAATGGGAACACGACAAAATGCATAAATGTTAATTGTAAAATTATTTCTGGTGATATTGTTCTATACATTAACGATCACGAGGTTAGGCTATAATATAAAGGCTATATACACTGCTCAAAAAAATAAAGGGAACACTAAAATAACACATCATAGATCTGAATGAATGAAATAATCTTATTAAATACTTTTTTCTTGTTTTTGCTTTTTAAGTGTTGTTTAAGTGTTGTGTTCCCTTTATTTTTTTGAGCAGTATAGGCCATACATTCTTTATAATATATATATATATATATATATATATATATATATATTTTTTTCTGCATGGACCTATTTCTTAAATTTGTGCTCTATCTGTTATTCCTTTTTCTCGGTTTAATAGCAGGATTTCATCTGTGTGGAAAAATATGTGCTCTTCCAAATACAAATATAGCCTTCTGTGAATAATGTTCATAAAATCACATTTTAAAAATGGACCACATTTTGAGATATTTTGAGTGAATGTAGAACCGGCAAGTGTTTGCATTTTTATGTTTTTACCGTCTTTGTTCATGTTATTTTAGCTTATTTGTTTTTACACTCATGTTTGATTTACCAGTATGACGTTAAATAGGTACATAATCCATTTTATAAATTCCAAGCAATATAAAAGACACACCTCTCGAAAACAATGCACTTTAATATTTATAATAGCTTATTTAGAACATATACATCTATGATATTTTTCACTGCATAAAATTGTGATGTTTTAAAAATATTATTTCATTTAATAGGCATCATTTTAATATTGTGTTTTGGGCAAGTTTATTTTGTGCATCAATAGATTTGTATTAATGTGTGACGTTAATTGTAAATTGTAAACTAATCAGATATTTAGCCTATACATTTAATAATCTTAAAAATAAAGGTTATTTATTGGCATCTCAAGCTCCACGAAGAACCTTTCCATTCCACAAAATATTCTTTATAGTGGAAAAATATTATTTGGATTTTTAGAATGTTCTTCACACTAAGAAAAAAATACGAAAATTCCGTAAAAATAATAATATTCACTCTTTTATGGAACCTTTCATGTTTAACGGTGTAACTACACAACCAATCAATTGTTTTGCATAATTTAAAGCGGATTTTATTAAAGACATTAGTAGAAATATATAGCTATTTTTTGTTTGTTTTACTAAATAACGCCTGTTTAAAACCAAACAGGAAATGATGTAGTCCCGCTAAAATTTACAGCGTATTCTCACCTCTGACCAGAATCCTTCGACAGTAGTCCGGATCGACTCCTAAAAGTTTATCGTGTCCATCCTCGCTGGATGAGGTCGGTGTGGACGCCGAGGTCCCCGGTGTGTCGGTAGAGCTCTGCACAGGTGACCGGTTCCCCACTTCAGTCCGGCTCTTCGAGTCTCTCCCGCGCTCACGACACAATGCGTTGGATCCACAGTGGTTTCGATCCTCGGCTATTCCATCGCCCATACTCGTGGCTTGATCAAACATCTAATAATCGAACTGTTTTATGTGTCCGCTTACTTTTATTGGGCAATTTTCAGTTTAAATAAATAGGCCCAGTCTGCGTAAATTCTTTCCTGACAGAAATGGGGAGATTAGATAATTCCCAAAACAACATCAAATTAGAATCCAGCGACGGAACCGAGTTTCTGCCCAAATGTTTTCGCATGTTCCGGCATCGCATCCATTCAGGAGGAGATGTGTAAAGAAGGGAAGGAAGGTGGAGGTGGAGGGGGCCCTGTGGGCATGTGGAAGGACCCTCCTCAGCTATAGGATCGCGCTCAACCCAAAATACATTGTGCATATATGCGCTGGGCTTCAAGATCTGTGACCGAGGCACTGGGAGGCGCTTCACTGCTTAACCACGTAGAAGTAATTCCACACAACAAACATGGACCCGAGCAGCGCAAACTTTCCCTTTCCCCGTGCATGACTTATATAGTCAATTTACTCGATGACTACACAAGGTTTTTTTTTTCTTCTTTTTTTTTCGTATTTGCTCTGGGCTGGGTTACAGAAGCTCTGGAGGAAGAGCCAGCGGATTTCAGGATTTCTTCGGGAGGAGGGAGGCGCTCATTTTCACGTGGGACGAATATAATAAACGACAAAATGCAAGTAAATAAATAATATCGGCCTATTATCGGTGTATACTCTCAACACAATCCGCTGGCTTCAGCCGTCACGTTAACATGTAATTCCAGAGTTGTCTTTTATTTTTTTACTTTGACTGACGGCACTGACGTCACTTCCGGACTGTAATCCATCAATTGATTGATAAACAGAGACGAGTAAGAACACGAGGCGCTTTCAACGCGCATTATAGCTTCAGCGAAATGTGAATAAAAATATCCCTGTTATTTTTAGACTTTATGCTGCTCGGTAAGTGGAATAAAAGATTGTTTTTTTTTAATTCTTTGTAATCGCGTTTAATTATTTTGCGCTTGCTGAATAACGGCCAAGGCAAATGTGTTCGAATGCGTCATTGTTATAAAGTAAGCGCCTAAAAATACGGCACTATTATTTAATTAGGTTAAGTCTTTTTGTTGTTGTTGTAAACTAAATCATCGGGGAGAGGAACACGCCGAGGGACAATAACATTAATTCATTAATGAATAAACTATGAATAGCCTAAACTTGAACTCTTTTTGAACTGAAGAAAATACAGCCAAGAAAAAAACTAAAAGAGCTTATATATTTTGCGCATTGACACTATTGTTTAAGCTAGGCTACTTTTTTTATTTTTAATAGGCTATTGACAAATGCACAGATAGCGTCCTCAACGTTTGTGCACGGGAGAATGTGCATCTACAAGTGTTACAATTCAGAGAAGGGTCGGTTTGTACCGATTTATCAGCGATGCGCCATAAGAACATTTTTATTTCAGTGAACAGTTCCCAAAATAACAATTTTTCTCTATAGTGTGAAGAACATAAAGAGCATTTTTATGAAAGATTCCATTTACGGTAAAGGTAGGCCTACTTTATGGAACCATATGCCAACAAAGAACATTCCTATTTTAAGAGTGTAAGATTGAATACACATTGTGCGCGTTATTGTGTCTGAAGTCTGAACGAGGGGTTTATTTGTGTTTACCTCACAGTACACGAACCGCAGGTGTTCATCTCATCATTGAACCGTTGCCATAATACACAAAAAACTAAACAAAATTAGAATCTTTTATCTGAGTGCGCAATCCCATTACGGAGGCCGCAATGACATAATTGCAGTTTTGCCACTTTCAGCAGTGTTTATCACTCAGTGCCGAAATGGCTCATTATTGAATTCAGCTGCTCAGCACAGATTAAACAGTGAACGTGATGAATGGAGCTGTCACTCACTTCCTCAAACCAACAGTACAGTCAAGAGATGTTTAATTGCCTCCACTGCTCTCTGGCCCCACAGTCTCACACACTGGCCCTTTCCTCCACACACACTAATGTTGCAAAACAGCCAAACACACAAACAGACCTTCTCATTTGGGTTTTACCTACATGCTCCATATGGTAGCCTACATGCTCTCTCTCTATCTCTCCCACACACACATTATATATATATAAAAATATAGGTTATATGTACATGATTTATTACAACTTTTTATCTTTTGTCAAATCAACTTAAATACTTGTGTAACTTAAATGTGGTTCAGATAACACAATATTTTAAGTTTATATTTATTTTTTACCAATCTTCATTGTAAATATTGGCTATATATTTAATTTTAATGAGCTAAAAATGTAGGTAACTTACTTTTTTTAAGTTAAACCAAAACTATTTTTTACACACACACACCACACACAGGCCTCTATTTTATTTTTTTTGTAATATAAACAAAAGCACAAAAGAACATTTTAAGTCTTCTCACAGATTTTAACCAAAAGTCACGATTAAGAGGATACTGCTTAAAAAAGGTTATTTTTAGTAAAATGTATTTATTTATTTAATAGTCAAGACTTTAAGGTTTGTACAGAAATCAAGTGTGACAACTAACCCCGGTCTGCGTTCAGCCGCTTCTAAAATGTTCGGTCGGGTTACAATAACATATAATTGGAGTCTGAAATGTGATTGAATCAGACTCAGTCAACCACGAGAACAAATATGAATAGTAACCATTTGCTTAGTAAGACCGCAACTTAAGGGTCAAAGCAAGTCGCATGTTCTTGAGAAAAACATGTGGACCAAACTTAGATATTATTAAACTGTTCATTTCCTGAGTTTATAAGAAAATTAAAGAACCTAAAGAAGACAATAATTCAGGAAAATTTGATTTTCCAAGGTGAACTACTAAGAACGACTAAATTACAACAACAAATGCAATGGAAAACCATTGAAACACGTATGTAGTAAACTCCATTCAAGGCTTCTTGCTTGGGAAACACAAACAGAATCAGTATGAAAAACAGAAACAAATGCATTAAATCGAAAAAAAAAAACGTAAACATGGAACATAATAGGCTAATACAGACATTTATAAAACAATTAGTTTTGTTAATGTTAGTTCATATTTTCACACATTTAAGTTTCACTTGAGTTTCTTTTTTGCTTTAATTGCCAATAGTTTGACGCGTGTATATGCGACTATAGTCGCATGTTTCGCGCGCATGCAGCAAATTACGTGTGCCATTTATTAAAGGGAACTTGCGGGATTGTGCGTCAATAAACGTTAAAGGGACCTCAAAACATGAATATTCTGTTATTTACTCACCATCAAGTTGTTCCAAACCTGTATGAATTTCTTTAGAATTTATTTTAGAATTAAGAAGATATTTTGAAGAATGTCGGAGACCAGTTGACGGTATAGCCATTGACTTTTTCCCACCCATAATATGGAAGTCAATGGGATCCATCAACTGTTTGGTAACAAACATCCTTCAAAATGTATTCTTTTGTGTTGATCAGAACAAAGAAATGCATGGGCTTGGAACAAGCTGAGGGTGAGTAAATGATGACAGGGTTTTCATTTTTGGGCGAACTATCCCTTTAAATCAGATTTGCGTTTCAATAATGATAACCAAAGCAGCGCAAAGGCGCTGGCAGCTCAAACCAGCTGTAGATCATGAGTAACCTGTCACAGATTATATGAGTTCATTTGGCTTTAAGCAGAGTTTTCTGCTTCAGTCCATCAGTGTTATATCACTGAGACGCACAAAGGTAGTGACACTATAGGGCATAGAGACAATACTGTTTCCCTGAGGGAGAGATCTGGACAACGAATGACTGACAAACCTTGACGTGCCGATTCGGGCTCGAGATAAAATACGATTCTGTCTTTGACATTGGACAGGTGAAAATGAGATGTTAGGCCGATTTGGAAAAATTGAAAAACTTTTTTTTTTCTCTCCGCAAGTTTTTGCACGCAGATTTTTTTATATAGTCTACATTTCTGCGGAGCCCCCAAGCGGACATGGTGTTGGGAGGAAAAATATGAGAGGGGTGGGAAAATAATAAGTCAATGCTTTTGCCTTCTCTCGTAAATGTTTTGCGTTCCCTCGAGAAACTTTGCGTTCTTTTCGCGTAGACGCAGTACGTTTTTCGGGGAAGGCAAATAGTTTGAAAGCGAACGCAAACTTTCTCGGGCTAAGGCAAAACATTTGCGAGAGAAAGCATAAGCATTGACAAATAACTTTTCCTCTCCTCTCTTATTTCTTTTCATCACCATATGTCCCAGTTTATTTCACAATCGAAGTTAAATAAAGTTAAAACAAATAAAAATAAACAACTTTAACTTGGCCAGACATGCTTTTAAAGTTACTTTGCAATACTGTTTCGAGTAGGATATTTTACTCAAACAATAACTTTAAATTAGCCCATGCTTTTAAAGTTAATGCTTTACTAGAACATCCAAGTAAATAAAACGGTAGATTGATGACCCGAACACAGAAACCTCAAATAAAAGTAAAACAATATCAAAAGGTAAAAACGCAGCTGGGAAACATTGAAATTAAGCTTATTAACTTTTCATGCCTATTGCATGGAAATTGCATGGGAACAGTAGCCTATCACAAAGTTGAGTAGGTTTTACTTAATTTTACGTTGATATTTACGCGTTGATTTCTACATGCAGGTTTAAATTGAATAGGCTACTAGTAGCCTATAGAATTTACTTTGTTTAAAGAAATTTGTTGTAGTATTTATTTACTTCACCACCGAATTATCAGTGCATGATTAAAAATAATATAGTCTAGCCTATACCGCAGAAATGCAATAACCTTATTTATTTTAATCTAATCTGATTTGCCACTAATTTAGTTTTGCTTACGTGAATAATGGATGTTTGCACTTTAAAAGTAGCTACCACAACTTATGAAATGAGGATTATATTTTTTAAAAATGTATTTCGCACGTCTCCTATGGAAGTGTAGGCTAATACTACATTTCAGGATGAATTGAAAATAAATCTGAAATAAAGTTAAAGCTCCTCCAGAAATATGAACCTGTCAGCTTTTCATCACACTGAAAAAAGATCTTTCTCATCTCACCTGTTCTCACGAGACAATGAGCTTATTTAGTTTTCTGCATGGATATTTCACTAATTTGGAAAATACATGGACATTGGTGCATTTGTATATTATTCATTATTTATTTGATTATCAAGCATGATCAAACGCAGTAGAATTTCGTTTTTTTTTTTTTTTACATTTATCAATTACCAAAACAACACTTCACAAGTTCAGTCCTAAACTGTGAATAGATCCATTAGTTAGAGTACACTGACCGCTAGTGGCTGTTCAATGCAATGATTCACTAACTATTACTCCACAATACTTATTATAAAAGCATTAAGTCAACTTTATTTGAGAGTAAAAAAATAATAACAGTAAGACACAGAAACAAAGCTCTCAAAGTGAAACCAACCGAAGTTTTGCTTTTTTTCTGTATAGACTTTTTGAGGGGGTTTGACGCCGTTTTAAAAGAAGCATTCACTTCTACATTGATCCATCAATGCAATTCAATGGACAAACAGTACACGGACATGGTGAAGGGGATAATATGATATGGTATAAACACTTATGATTGCGTTCCTCGGAGAACTTTGCATTAGCTAGCAAATAACGCAAACGTTTTGCGCGCGAAGCCACGAAAGCTTCTCGAGGGAACGCAAAACATTTGCTAGAGTAAGAAGCCCTTATAGGGACACGGTGAAGAAAAAGAGATGGAAGAAAAAATGTCAACGCTTTTGCGTCATCTCTCAAATGTTTAGAAATGTAGCGTTCGCTCGCGAAGAGCTAAAAAGTTGGTAGCAATTTTTTAGCGAGGAAACAGAGTTACTATAGCGATTTCTTTGGGTGGAAACGCAAAAGCATTTACGTTATTGTTGGTTCTTCCACTAAAATGACCCTTTGGGGCTCCGTACGGTTGAACACAAAAGCATTGACTTGATTTAATTCCCATCTCATATTTTCAGGGCCTCCATACAATGCTACGCTGCAAACATTCAGTGTTAAATGGCTCACATGCTGGCATCAGTCAAATCAACTAAGAATATGTTTATGATTTCAGGCACTTCGGCTCTACAAAACAGACCAATGTTACACATAAAAAGATTTATGAACAGCCCTTAAAGTGACGTTCTTATTCAAATATATCAGGGCAAACATGGATGAAAAATGAAATTTGATCCGAGTTAATAATTATCAAATCAATTTCAGTTCATGAATCAAAACATTCACACTTTTAAAGGGTTAGTTCACCCAAAAATGAAAATTAAGTCATTAATTACTCACCCCCATGCTGTACCAACCCCGTAAGACCTTCGTTCGTCTTCGGAACACAAATAAAGATATTTTTGATTAAATTTGAGAGCTGTATAACTACCACATTGGCTCCTAAAGGACTGCCTCTTGACGGCCCAGAAAGTCAATGAAGAAAATGTTTAAATATCCCAAGTGACTACCGTGGCTCAACTATATGTTTATCAAGCGACGCGAATACTTTTTGTGCGAAAAAACAAACAAAAATAACGAGTTTATTCGACTATTTCTTTTCTTCCTTGTAGGCCAGAACGAGACTTCCTTAGATTTCCACGACGCATGCGCGAGATTTGCGATCTGAATAAGCTGATGTCAGATCGCAAATCTCGCGCATGCGTCAATCTAAGGAAGTCTCGTTCGCCTACATAGTCGGAAACTCTAAGGAAAGTATTCGCGTCGCTTGATAAACATATAGTTGAGCCACGGTAGTCACTTGGGATATTTAAACATTTTCTTCATTGACTTTCTGGGCCGTCAAGAGGCAGTCCTTTAGGAGCCAATGTGGTAGTTATACAGCTCTCAAATTTAATCAAAAATATCTTCATTTGTGTTCCGAAGACGAACGAAGGTCTTACGGGGTTGGTACAGCATGGGGGTGAGTAATTAATGACTTAATTTTCATTTTTGGGTGAACTAACCCTTTAAGCCACAATGCGATAAAGTTCATGGTGCAACATGTAAGTTTGATGTTGTGGTCAGCAGCGCCCCCTACTGGTACAAACAAGAGGCTGATTCACAGTGAGCACAGGCATCACCCTAGATTGAGTTTAAAATCACACAGATTCGAGCAAGAAAGTGCAATAACACAGACATAAAAGCATATTATTTGTTTTATCTAAAAGAAACATTCAGTCATAATACTTGAATTCTGAGAAAAACGCACTATTTGATTGTTTTTTCCCCTCCAACCCTGAAAAACGACAAATCACAGAGAGCTAACAGTAAACGACAGATCATTCCTGCATTCCAAAAGAAGCTAGTGACCACAGTGTGTTTTCAAACGCAGTATGTGCCACTGAGAGGGAAGTGTGTGTTTGTGTGTGTTCAGGCGTTTAGTCGAAGCCTTGCCAGTCGCTTTGCTCAGAGTCGTACTCGAGTTCGGCTCCCACACACCGCACGCCTTCCAGCAGCATCGGGGTCCCGTGGAGACGGTCTGACCAGGGAAGAGAGTCACTGAAGTCAACGTCATCAATTCAACAATATCAATTCTGTTTTTACTTTTAAAATGCTGCCGTCAGTACAAGCTAAGCTCAATTGCGTGCATTTCGTGGCATAATATTTATTACCACAAAAAATTATTTTGACTTGTGCCTCCATTTCTTTAAAAATTGGCAAAAATCTGGAGATTAATCACTTACATTGGGTCCTATTTTTGTCAAAAGTAAATAAACAATATGCGTGCCAACATGATTTTAGTGAGGGAAAAATCACTTACTAGCCATTTCGGTCTAAAGTTTCAATTTTACAACCCCATAAACCCTAAAACGATTACAAAAAGATGAATCCTGAAAAAAAAATGCATCGCAGTTTTCACAAAAATATGAAGCAGCACAACCGTTTTAAACATTGATGATAATCAAAAATGTTTCTTGAGCAGCAAATCATCATATTTATGGGGTGCCGTTAGTAAAGCGGCTAATGCTGAAAATAACAGCAACATTTTGTCACATTTAGCTTCAAACTATGTTTAAAAAACTGGTATGAATTTTTGACGGTCACTTTTTAGCGCATTTACATCTATATTTGTCAACTTAGAGATATTTAAAATAGTTAAATGTTAATAGTTAAATGTTACACCTAAATGTTAAATCTAAATCCAGATGTTAAATCTAAATATTAAATCTAAATGTTAAATCTAAATATAAATGTTACACCTAAATGTTAAATGCTAAATCTAAATCTAGATGATAAATCTAAATATTAAATCTAAATCTAAATGTTAAATCTAAATCAAATTTTAAATATAAATTTTAAATCTAAATATAAATGTTAAATGTAAATATTTAGATTTAACATTTATATTTAACATTTATATTTAGATTGAACATTTAGATTTAGATTTAACATTTAGACTTAGATTGAACATTTAGATGTAACATTTAATATTTAGATTTAACTATTTCAAATATCTCCAAGTTAACAAATATAGATGTAAATGCGCAAAAAATTACCGTCAATAAAATTCATACCAGTTTTTTAAACATAGTTTGAAGCTAAATGTGACAAAATGTTGCTGTTATTTTCAGTGTGAGACGCTTTACAAACGGCACCCTTTCTGAAGGATCATGTGACACTAAAGACTGGAGTAATGATGCTGAAAATACAGATTTGATCACAGTAATAAATCACATTTAACATATTCAAATAGAAAACAGTTATTTGAGGTTGTAATAATGTCACAATATTACTGCTTTTGCTGTATTTTGGTTCAAATAAATGCTTCCTTGAAGAGAAGAGACTTTAAAAATCTTACCAACAGTGGTGTAATATGCATATTTTACCTGAAGAATTAAGGTAAATACTTTTAAGAATGACACATTTATGCTTTAAACACTTTAAAAAAAAAGCCTTTTAAGGTGTTTGCTTAAATTATTAAACAAGTTGAAATTATTTTGTGCTGATGAACATAATGCCACACATTTTCTTAAAGGGATAGTTCACTGAAAATGAAAATGAGCTCATGTCCTCCCCCTCATGTTGTTCCAAACCTGTATGAGTTTTTTTGTCCAGTTGAACACAGAAGAAGACCGTTTTTAAGATCGTTGGTAAATAAACAGTTGATGGCAGACATTCAAGAAAAAAACTCATAATTGAGGGTGAAAAATTTTTTTTTGCAGTGAACTATCCCTTTAACTTGAATTCCTCCTGGTTTTTACACCAGTAGAGGGCAGCAAACAACCTCACATCTTCATTCAGGGTGTCATTAAACAGTGTCTTAAACTATTATAACAAACACAACTCTGTTATTAGCCAGTTTGGCTGTTCAGATCCGTCACTTACCCATGACACGGGCGTGAACTTTGACCTTCACACACACGTCCTCTTTGCTCTCACTAAGAATCTGCACCTCCTCACACATCACTCCCTCCTGATGGGCCATATATTCACACGTCACCCTCAGACCTCCTGAACACAGATAAAGAGGAGCATCATTTACACATGTTCATCTCCAGCCATTGTACAGGAACGATTTTTTATCTCACAGACAAAACGTTTGTGTGACGACCAGACTCACACTCATCAATTCAGCTGGACATCTCCTGTCTGATGTTTATTTATCATTTCCTGGAATCATACACACCATCTTTCATCTATCATCGCAATGGAAAATGCCTAAAGCTGATATGAGCTGTAATTTCAGTGGACAACAGGTAGCCCCGCCCCCAAACTAACATGATTGGCTGAGACAGAAGTTGACATGTTGGGACTCTAACAGTGTCAAAACACTTTAATAAGTCAAAATAAGTCAAAATTAATAATAATCCAAGTCATAGTGCTAATGTTTTAGTGGTGCACTGTTTTATCAATTGTTTGTCTGTCAATGTAAATATGCACAAGATTTTTTTAATGTTTATTTATTTGGTGATGCCCAAAAGCTCTGCTAATTTTCCTGGGGTCCACATAATACTTAAATATTATTTTTAAAAATTACAAATAACATAATAAAAACCTGTCACTGCCGAATCAGAGTCCAACAACAACAAGCTTGGCATATATTCAAGATTTACAACCATCTGTGAACATACAAAAAAAAAAAAAAGTCTAACACTTATACAACTCCTGCCACTGTCTAGCGTCTCGTGTTTTTAAACACGCACGTATTAACCACTGAAAATGACACACTTGACCTTTAAATTCACCAAATGTTGTGCATATTTGCCTAAAAGCTACTTAGCTGCGCATTGAATAACCCAAAAATGCTTTGTTACCTGTAAGTATGTTTTTAAAACATGGTTTTTATTTCGTCAGCAGATCGACAGCACTTGCCTAAATACACACTGAAGAATCTTTTGTGGTCATACATTCCTCATACAGCATTTCTGCACATTAAATAAACTCTTAGGAAGAACTGGTCGGAACCGGTTCTGAGAGCCTTTCTCTGGAATATCCTGTATGGCTCTCGTGAGATTTTATTCTTAAGGGGACGTAAATCTTGGCCATAGTTTACTTAGAGTCTGAACACACTTAAAAATGCTTTCATAAAACACACTTGTTTATGTGTCTTAAGTAAAAACAAAAAAGTAATCATAACAATAACATGTGCCAATAAACAACAACATAATATAAATATACTATTTACTATCCAATCTTTTTTCTTCCAAAAATAAACAAATAGAAATCCATCCATCCAACCATTGCTCTAACCATCCATCCATCCATCCATCCATCTAAAACCCATTGCTCTAACTATCAATCCATCCATTATCCATCTAACATCCATTGTTCTAACCATCCATCCATCCATCCATCCATCCATCCATCATCCATCTAAAACCCATTGCTCTAACTATCAATCCATCCATTATCCATCTAACATCCATTGTTCTAACCATCCATCCATCCATCCAAAGTCCATTGCTAACTATCAATCCATCCATTATCCATCTAACATCCATCCATCCATCCATACATCATCTATCTAAAATCCATTGCTCTAACTATCAATCCATCCATTATCCATCTAACTTCCATTGTTCTAACCATCCATCCATCCATCCATCCATCCATCCCTCCAAACATTCAAAAGGCTCCAAAAGGATTTAGACACACTTAAAAGTTAATTTCATTGCATTAAAACTGTGAGGGAACTGCAGGGCTGAAGTGTTGTCAAGTTGCTAATAATTAATATAAAAACCTAATGATTAATGAAATCATAAAAATGTCAAACTAAAATATTTAAGATGAAACAAATTGGGAAAAAAAATGGTTTACCAGCATGTCATGTGACCATTAATATTAACTGAAATATTTTAGATTGAAGTTTTGGAATCTCTTCAATAAGCCACCGAACACTAGAAATTACTTGAGGTTTCTTCATCAGCATGTTCAGCCATGTTGAGTCAGAGAGCGATGGGACGTACCATCTGAGGACCCGGTTAAATTAGTGATCCGCAGGTGTGGATTGGGGATGGGGGCTGGACACACGTCTTTCCCGAGCTCCGGCACCTCAGGCAGTGTGAACACGATCTCATATCGGTGCTGTGCTTTCAGGAAGCCCACCTGAGGAGATCGAGGGAAGCAGAGAGGGTATGAGTGGGTGGCACCAGGTAATATTTCGAGTCAAACTGTGCACACTTGATCTGCTACTTTTGATAAAGATCATCGTTTACTGTGATAACAAAGTAATAAGAAGTTCACCGTTAACGTTAATTAAATCTTGGCTGAACCATTGTATGAATCATACACTGTAAACCCGAATAAGTAGGCAAAACTCAAATAACTTGATGTAATCGGTTACATCACATTTTTTAAGGTAAGAAATTTAACGTTTAAGTAAGCAGAACTTGCAGATCATGCATTTTAATGGCTCTTTACTTTAAATATTTAAGCAAGCTTATTCACACTCAACTTAAAATTATGATGTAATCTCGACTTAAATATTTTTAGTAGTGGAAACTTGGCTAACTTTAACCAGCTAATTTAAAAAAATGCTACTTTGCTAATTGGTGACCCAATGCTTTGATAGCATTAGCATGGCACTTGATGAAGGAGTACAGCAATTGAAAACATTTAACATAGATGGTTCTCAAAACAAGCTCATGCCCCCAAAAATATTCTGTCAGATTAAATGTTCATTACTTGTTGAATATCTTTTTAACCAATAAAGGAAATGGGATAATAATTTGAGGGTTACAAACTAATGAGCACTGGTGGAAAAGAGAGTGACAGAACTCAGGAAACATTCAAACTGCATCTGGGTCTCTGAGTCCTCGTCAAAACATTAATAACCGACCAGAGAGACAGTCCAGAGGTGCAGGTGTTCATACACTGCTGTCTCCATGGCAACACAGGGCAGTAACGGGGCAGTTAGGTGGAGGGAGCGGGAGCATGTGCGATGAAAAGAGTCACAGAATATGACACCCACTGTGGGGTGAATGTTACGCGAGAATGCATGTCTATCTTGTCTCAGATATTTGCGAGTAGGAGGAATGAAAAGACTGAAATGTATTCAAAAACTCACTGTTCTCACAACAACAAGCAGCTCGTGTACAGCGAAGAGTCACAACAAAACAGACCCATTTACTTTTATAAACCACATTCATCTATTAACATCCATCCCTCCATCCAACTAACTAATCATCCATCCAACTAACTGACTAACCATATATCTATCTATCTATCCATCCATCCATCTAAACCATAGATACATCCATTTATTCATCCATCCATCTATCCATCCATCCAGCTAACTAACCAACCGTATATCGATCCATTTATTCATCTGCCCAACTAACTAACCAACCATCCCTCCATCCAGCCATCTATCTATTCATCTATCTATCTATCAAACCATATATATATCCATTTATCCATCCATCCATCCATCTAACTAGCAAACCATATTTCTATCCATTTATTCATCCATCCATCCATCCAACATATATCTATCCATTTATTCATCCATCCATCCATATATATATCCATCAATCCATCCATCTAGCTAACTAACTGACTAACCATATCCATCTATAGTTATTCATCCATCCAACTGACCAACCATATATCTATCCATTTATCCATCCATGCATCCAACTAACTGACCAACCAACCAACCAACCATATCCATTTATTCATCCATCCATCCATCCATCCATCCATCCATCCAACTAAGCGACCAACCAATTAACCATATCCATTTATTCATCCACCCATCATCCATCCATCCATCGATCCATCTAACTTATCATCCATCCACCCATCCATTCATCCAACTAATCATCTATCCACCCATCATCCATCCATCCATCCATCCATATAACTAATCATCATCCATCCATCCATCTAATCATCTATCCACCCATCATCCATCCATCCATCCATCCATCTAACTTATCATCCATCCACCCATCCATCCATCCAACTAATCATCTATCCACCCATCATCCATCTATCCATCCATCCATATAACTAATCATCATCCATCCATCCATCTAATCATCTATCCACCCATCATACATCTATCCATCCATCCATATAACTAATCATCATCCATCCATCCATCCATCCATCCAACTAATCATCTATCCACCCATCATCCATCTATCCATCCATCCATCTAACTAATCATCCATCCATCTATCCATCCATCCATATAACTAATCATCATCCATCCATCCACCCATCCAACTAATCATCTATCCACCCATCATCCATCTATCTATCCATCCATATAACTAATCATCATCCATCCATCCATCCATCCATCCATCCATCCATCCATCCATCCAACTAATCATCTATCCACCCATCATCCATCTATCCATCCATCCATATAACTAATCATCATCCATCCATCCATCTAATCATCCATCCACCCATCATCCATCCATCCATATAACTAATCATCATCCATCCATCCAACTAATCATCTATCCACCCATCATCCATCTATCCATCCATCCATATAACTAATCATCATCCATCCATCCATCTAATCATCCATCCACCCATCATCCATCCATCCATATAACTAATCATCATCCATCCATCCATCTAATCATCTATCCACCCATCATCCATCCATCCATCGATCCATCTAACTTATCATCCATCCACCCATCCATCCATCCAACTAATCATCTATCCACCCATCATCCATCTATCCATCCATCCATATAACTAATCATCATCCATCCATCCATCTAATCATCTATCCACCCATCATACATCTATCCATCCATCCATATAACTAATCATCATCCATCCATCCATCCATCCATCCATCCAACTAATCATCTATCCACCCATCATCCATCTATCCATCCATCCATCTAACTAATCATCCATCCATCTATCCATCCATCCATATAACTAATCATCATCCATCCATCCACCCATCATCCATCCATCCATATAACTAATCATCATCCATCCATCCATCCATCCAACTAATCATCTATCCACCCATCATCCATCTATCTATCCATCCATATAACTAATCATCATCCATCCATCCATCCATCCATCCATCCATCCAACTAATCATCTATCCACCCATCATCCATCTATCCATCCATCCATATAACTAATCATCATCCATCCATCCATCTAATCATCCATCCACCCATCATCCATCCATCCATATAACTAATCATCATCCATCCATCCAACTAATCATCTATCCACCCATCATCCATCCATCCATATAACTAATCATCATCCATCCATCCATCCATCCATCCATCTAACTAATCATCCATCTAACTAATCATCCATCCATCCATCCATCCATCCATCCATCTAAAACGAGAACCACTACAAAAAATAATAATAATTCAAATCGCTTGATGGCAATCCACTACACCAAAAAGTTATGGAACAACTAATCAGAGATAAAAATAGTCTCATCACAGCCATGGGCGAGTGTTTAGTGTCATGCTCTGACATACTGACCCGTGCTGCTCATATAATGCAACCAATCTGGCTTGTGTCATTTCCTGATCCCGTTCGCTCTCTTCAAATTCCAGATACAGCTTTCGGCACGAGTTCTGTCAATGCCCTCACATAATAAGGCATAATAAAAAAGAAACTGAAGATCTGATATGAGCTGGGAAACTCAGTGTTCTCCCTGTAATATGAACTCACATTCTCAACTAAAGACCATCAAATAAGGCTAATGAATAGCATCAGCAATATCACTCGCTCACCTTAACCAGGAAGTTCCTGGTTGATTCGGGTATCACCATGACGACGGAGTCGTGCAGTTTCTCGTCAAAATGCACATGCGAGTGAGCGGCGGCGGCCGGTTCCTCCGCGAAGCGAACACCCCCCGTCTTAGACGACGCTGCAGAAGAACAAAAGCAAAGCACTTACAGCTGCGCTAATTACACACTGCCCACAGATTTACACACATTGCGCTGAATTAAACATGCTCAACAAGAACCTTTCAAAGTTGCAATTATTCAAATCGACCTTGCCATTTGACACCCAAAAACCCTGAAAGTCTAATACCAGAGATCTTTCATTTCTTTAATCAAAGAAAGTTACAGCAGAGTGGGCTTACATTCAATTTAAAATTTCATTTCCATTTAGAAGTTTTCTGCCAAAATTCATAAACTATATTTGAATAGACTGATCTACTTTAAATAACTAAATAATTTAATTTCTTAAATTGGGCTTACATTCAATGTAATGTGTTTTAAATCAGTTTAAAAAAAACTTGATGTTTTTAATTTAAGCTTTGGATCAAACAAACATAGAATTAAAAATGATGCAGACGACAGGAGATGATATCATGACACAAGTATTGGGGCTATTTTTACTTTTCAAGTTTGTCTCTCAGTCTCTTTCACACAGGATTTATTAGGGATTGAAAACTGGTTTTAGGTTCACCCTGTGTTTTTAGGGGACGTTATGATGTGTTCACGCATTCAAAAATGGCTAGATGGAGCGCAACAGCAAAATGAAACAAGAAAAAAGGAGTTAATTAAATTAGTCTTTTCTGAAAGGGTTTTAATGTGCAAGCTGTCTGTCTAACACCTTCAGCACATCCAATGTGGCAATTACAGCACCAGCACTAAAAATATCAAAACTAAAAAAAGAGAAAGAAAATCCCGAGCAATGTTCTTCCTGGCTCTCCTCTTTTACAGTCTGATTTAATAAAGCAGGTCGTCAGGCCTTCAGGGGTGTGTTTCTCACACACATATCAAACTAGGCCTTGAACTAAAGTGCAAGATCAATGCTAATTCTTCTTTTAAAATCCATTTGTGTTGCAGGATTAGAGTAAAACTTCTTACATTATTGTAGTAAATTCACTTTCATTCAAAAGTCGGTATGTTTCTAAAAGAAGTCTCTATTCTTCTCACCATAGCTGCATTTATTTGATGAAAAGTGTTTTCTATTTGAATATATTTAAACATGGAATCCATTTTTTGTGAGTCACATGACTCTTCAGAAATCATTCTAATATGCTGATTCGTTTCGATTTCTAATTATTAACAATATAACTGAAACAGTTGTTTTCAAAAATGTTGTGCTGCATTTTGTGGAAACCCTTTTCTCTAGGATTTTTGATGAATATAAAGATAAAGATAAAGAGAACAGCCTTTAATTGAAACATAACATTATTAATGGGTTTACTGTCATTTTTGGTGAGTTTAATGCATCGCTTTGAATCTCATACTAACCCTAAACCTTTGAACGATAACGCTTGAGCTAAACGCTCACATCTGAACCAACAGGGCACAAAGCCCACCGTAATGAACATCAGCTTTGGGGATTTGTCCTTCATTTTCAATCTAAAATCCTTCAAAGCCTCTGCCCAAAAACTGCTTTTATTGTATTTTGGCAATAAGACATTGCAATTAATGTCCTTTTTGTGTGTGTGTGTGTGTGTGTGTGTGTATGAAGTTTTTTATTTTATTTTGAATCTAAATTAAATTATCAAGTAACTACATTACATTTCCTGAAAAACACATGCTAACACTTTTTCTCATGCTAACCGTGTCAATTCTAAGGTGTTTGCCAGGGCATTTCTATGTGGTTGCTAGAGCCTTCTGGCTGTTTCTTACATTTACATTCATGCCTTTAGTAGACACTAATCTAAAGCAAATCAAATTGCATTCAAGTTACACAGTTCATGCATTGCCTGGGAATCGAGCCATGACTTGCTGCACTGTTTGAGCAACGGGTTTCATACTTGTCAAAGTCAACCGGGCCCACTTCCAAGATAGTCTCTTTTCTAGATAGGATTCAATAAATAATCATTAATTCCAGTCTCAATTCCTGAATGAACCTATGAAGGTTTGTAACAAATTTCCATAATGCAAGTCTATGTTGTTCATTGGCTGCCCGCAAACGTCTACTTTGGCCCTCAAACACTGCAGTTGTAGCTGAGACTGGAAGAGTTTGGTTTGTGTTGTTCATGTCAGAGAAGATGCTGTGATAAACTTCAAAAGGAGGAGGACTTGTGCTGGAATTGATCTGGAAAAACCAACGCCATCATTCGTATCACTGTGTATCAAGTGGGTTTCAGACATGCACTATATGGGACGATAACCGGTTTCACGATAAACCGTGATAAAATGTACTGACGGTTAGTATTATCGTTTAAAATTTAATTATCATTAAAACCGTGTTTGATTATCTCGATTTTAAAAACCTCACTGAATCCTGTCGGCCAGTCTGACGCAGGCGCGCAGCACGCAATATTTTTTTAAATTACTATTCGAGAAGGAATGGCGGAAGGCAGTGACCGTGCTCAGGAGATTTTTCAGCCTTTTAAGAGGACCAAATCTGAGGTGTGGTCATATTTTGGGTTTTACAAAAGTCCTGAGGGAAACTTGATCGAGGATGGTCACCCTGTCTGCCGAACAAAAAACGCTTCAAATCTGCCAAGTCGTCTTGTGTGATCATCACCCGAACGCAAGGCAAGTTAACTTTGACCTTAATACCAAAACTACGACTGGGAAACAATTGGGCATGAAATGTTGTTTTGAGTTGAAACATTTTATGTCACTCACTTGAAATAGACGTCAAGCTTCCGCGAAGAAAAGTTCGTAGCAAGTGGATTTGAGCCAAAGACGAACGAACAACTTCAAACAAGACTATTATTAAGAGTGATATTTTAAGGGATAGTAAAGTATAGATACATCACGTATTAAACCGATTTTATTTTTACCACATAATTACGGGGACATATTGAATTGATAATTGAGATTAGCTAATGTTTTAAATCTTACCTGTTTATGAATTCATTTTGAAAAACAATCGTCCAGACAAGATATATCACACCAATATTATCAAACTCTGTAAGCAATAAATCAACTCTGATTTCATTTTTGCAATACAATCAAAAACCGGAGACGCAAGACGGCAAGTTGTATTTGAATGAAACAAGAGCGCGTGTCCGTTGTGATATAGATGTGCGCTGTGTAATAATGCGTTGCTATTGACGACGGGCATTATAAAGAAGCAAATGCCATAGAATAGAATCTTGCTTAAAAAACTGCATAGAGAGGCTTGCTTTATTTGTTGTTTGTTGATTTTCAATTATAAAACTTGTTGAAATGTTTTCAGTGTGAGCATCAGTTCTTTTTGAGCACTTTCATAAATTTTTAACAAAACCGTGATAATATTGATAATCACGATTATTTTGGACACTATAATCGTGATATGAAATTTTCATACCGTCCCATCCCTAATGCACTATAAGCGGTAGACCAGACTGGGCCAATAATACTGGCAATATTACAGACATTAGTTATAAAGTATTCAAATAAGTGTCTTATCACACATGGCAATCGCACAATAAACACTATATGCTGTTAGAATTGAATGGGCTACAATGTAGCGTCGGCACTGGGGACTCATCTCATGAAATGACCGGACATTGACAGACATAGTGCTGATTACATCAGGGACTCTTTGGATCCCTGCGCTATGAATAAAAATAAATGACATTTTAGATTCAGAGGAAGTCTAGTGAGATAAAAACAATAAGATGGTGTCGCCAAGATACTTCACAATCACACTCAAACTGGCTGCAATAAAAATGTACATTTACATTTCATCCAAAGTAAAGTGCGAATGAAGAGCATCACCAACAATTTGTCATAAGAGCACAATGCCAAGTTTAGAGTATGAGAACGATCATCACACAAACTGGAGGAGAAGTGAAATGCAGAAAAGAGAAGAAACAGCCATTTTAAGAGAACTATATTTGAGTATATTTGAGTATGAGTATATTTTACAAATAAAAAAAAGATATGAATCTGTAGGGTCAGTGTTGGCCCTGTTTGCCTGCAGCTGTGGCACTGAGGTAAAATTACACATAATGTAATGTAATCTGCATGGGACAGGACGACATTTGTATGAGTGATCATGTAATTGACCTCATTACAGAGGTTATGGGACTCCAACAGTTTGCCAAATGTAGAGACTATAAACACTCTCACACATGACTAACAGACCTGCCAACTGGTGTCTCATGGTCTAGATGACCAACAGAAAAAAAATACACAGCATTAAAATACTACTATCCTGGAATGGAGAAATCTAGATTTAAACATCATAGAGACATTCATATAAATTTTTACCTTACAGTTACTGTATATCTGGCCTCTAGTTCATAAACGCCAGAGGAAAACTGGCCCCTGACTGAGCCTGGGTTCTCCCAAGGTTTTTATTTTCTTTGGGTTTTATTTTCATTGGGTCACCTGATGGAGTTTTAGGACACCATTGGGTCACCTGATGGAGTTTTAGGACACCACTGGGTCACCTGATGGAGTTTTTTGACACCATTGGGTCACCTGATGGAGTTTTAGGACACCTGATGGAGTTTTTGGACACCATTGGGTCACCTGATGGAGTTTTAGGACACCATTAGGGTCACCTGATGGAGTTTTAGGACACCATTAGGGTCACCTGATGGAGTTTTAGGACACCATTGGGTCACCTGATGGCATTTTAGGACACCATTGGGTAACCTGATGGCGTTTTAGGACACCATTGGGTAACCTGATGGCGTTTTAGGACACCATTGGGTCACCTGATGGAGGTTTAGGACACCATTGGGTCACCTGATGGAGGTTTAGGACACCATTGGGTCACCTGATGGCGTTTTAGGACACCATTGGGTCACCTGATGGCGTTTTAGGACAGCATAGTGTCACCTGATGGAGGTTTAGGACACCACTGGGTCACCTGATGGAGGTTTAGGACACCATTGGGTCACCTGATGGCGTTTTAGGACACCATTGGGTCACCTGATGGCGTTTTAGGACAGCATAGTGTCACCTGATGGAGGTTTAGGACACCACTGGGTCACCTGATGGAGGTTTAGGACACCACTGGGTCACCTGATGGAGGTTTAGGACACCATTGGGTCACCTGATGGCGTTTTAGGACAGCATAGTGTCACCTGATGGAGGTTTAGGACACCATTGGGTCACCTGATGGCGTTTTAGGACACCACTGGGTCACCTGATGGCGTTTTAGGACACCATTGGGTCACCTGATGGCGTTTTAGGACACCATTGGGTCACCTGATGGAGGTTTAGGACACCATTGGGTCACCTGATGGCGTTTTAGGACACCACTGGGTCACCTGATGGCGTTTTAGGACACCATTGGGTCACCTGATGGAGGTTTAGGACACCATTGGGTCACCTGATGGCGTTTTAGGACACCATTGGGTCACCTGATGGCGTTTTAGGACACCATTGTGTCACCTGATGGAGGTTTAGGACACCATTGGGTCACCTGATGGCGTTTTAGGACAGCATAGTGTCACCTGATGGAGGTTTAGGACACCATTGGGTCACCTGATGGAGGTTTAGGACACCATTGGGTCACCTGATGGCGTTTTAGGACACCATTGGGTCACCTGATGGCGTTTTAGGACACCATTGGGTAACCTGATGGCGTTTTAGGACACCATTGGGTAACCTGATGGCGTTTTAGGACACCATTGGGTAACCTGATGGCGTTTTAGGACACCATTGGGTAACCTGATGGAGGTTTAGGACACCATTGGGTCACCTGATGGAGGTTTAGGACACCATTGGGTCACCTGATGGCGTTTTAGGACAGCATAGTGTCACCTGATGGAGGTTTAGGACACCACTGGGTCACCTGATGGAGGTTTAGGACACCATTGGGTCACCTGATGGCGTTTTAGGACACCATTGTGTCACCTGATGGAGGTTTAGGACACCATTGGGTCACCTGATGGAGGTTTAGGACACCATTGGGTCACCTGATGGCGTTTTAGGACAGCATAGTGTCACCTGATGGAGGTTTAGGACACCACTGGGTCACCTGATGGAGGTTTAGGACACCATTGGGTCACCTGATGGCGTTTTAGGACACCATTGGGTCACCTGATGGCGTTTTAGGACACCACTGGGTCACCTGATGGCGTTTTAGGACACCACTGGGTCACCTGATGGAGGTTTAGGACACCATTGGGTCACCTGATGGCGTTTTAGGACACCATTGGGTCACCTGATGGCGTTTTAGGACACCATTGTGTCACCTGATGGAGGTTTAGGACACCATTGGGTCACCTGATGGCGTTTTAGGACAGCATAGTGTCACCTGATGGAGGTTTAGGACACCACTTGGTCACCTGATGGAGGTTTAGGACACCACTGGGTCACCTGATGGCGTTTTAGGACACCATTGGGTCACCTGATGGCGTTTTAGGACACCATTAGGTCACCTGATGGCGTTTTAGGACACCATTGGGTCACCTGATGGCGTTTTAGGACACCACTGGGTCACCTGATGGCGTTTTAGGACAGCATTGTGTCACCTGATGGCGTTTTAGGACACCATTGGGTCACCTGATGGAGGTTTAGGACAGCATAGTGTCACCTGATGGAGGTTTAGGACACCATTGGGTCACCTGATGGAGGTTTAGGACACCATTGGGTCACCTGATGGAGGTTTAGGATACCTTTGGGTCACTTGATGGAGTTTTTCGATTCCTTACCACTGTTGCCTTTGGCTTGCTACACAAGTAGGGCCAGAGGAGTTCATGTATTTATGTCTATGACTTTCAAGGCCCAAATTTCTGATAAATGCCTGAAAAGGTGAATTGGTCTAAATCATTTTTGTTCTTTATGTAAATAATCTAAAAGCAATTTGAAAGCAGAAATGCTGCAGTCTGGCAGGGACCAGAGATCGACAGACTCTCCATCAAGTGAACGCTCAGTGGTGCCGTATAGAGGTTTAGATTATGAACCTCATCTAAAACTTCACACCGTAGCCATGGCAACAACGAGAAAATCTGGCCCTTGAGGAACACGACATTTCCTAAAAGCTGTTCTGGGGTCAGTTTTGTGCTTTAATACACAACCACACAGCCTCGAGCCGACTGGGATTGGAAGATGCTTTGTGAATGTCGCACAGCTGCCTGAGCTGAAGAAACCGTAGATGTTCTGGTGCAACAATACACAGCATGACAACAGAGCCTCTGCCTTCATCCAAAATGAAACTTTATCGCATTCATACACAAAAACAAAATGGAGGCCATCTTTGTGCCTCCAGGATGGATTGATTACCACAATAAGTGGTGGAAAGACAGCAGCCAGACATTATCTTTCGGGAGTTTTTTCCGACGGTTTCTCAGACAGACGTGAAAACAGACACGAGCTCTTTCTTGCACATTTCCTGATGATCAGAAACAGCCCACATGTTTAGCAACTGCTGAGTCACCACCAACTGAGCAAGAATTCATTATTGTTCTTGCTTTATTAAAATCTCTGAAGCCTCATTCCTGAGACTGAAAAGCCAGCAGGTTGTCAAAACTCATGATAAGCAGATTGACATTTTTGAAAGGCAGTTTAAAGTCAGTGTGGTGGGAATCGGGATTATTTATTTATTTTTTAAACACATTCAACTTCCTAAATGTCCTTGCTAAAAAGCATTTTTAAAAGTTGTCATATTCAAAAGTTTGAGTTTGTAATGTTTTTGAAAGAACTCTCTTATGCTCACCAAGACTGAATTATTTGACAAAAAATTTAATATTGTGAAATATTATAAAAATTTAAAATAACAATTTGTTATTTGTACGGAAGAGGATTAGGGCCAAGCAATAATAAAAAATAAAATCATCTGGAGATTAAAGACATTATAATGTGAAATTAAACTAGTTAAATTTCGAGAAAAAAAGTTGAAATACAATCTTGAGAATAAACTCATTAAATATCAAGAATAAAGTCGTGTTTCGAGAAAAAAAAACGTGTTAAATTTCGAGAAAAAAAAGTCTAAATACAATCTTGAGAATAAAGTCATTAAATAGAAGTTTTTTTTTCTCGCAACACGACTATTCTCGAAAATTAATGAGTTTATTCTCAAGATTGTATTTCGAGTTTTATTTCTCTAAACACAACTTTATTCTCGAAAAATTATGAGTTTATTCTCAAGATTGTATTTCGAGTTTTTTTCTTAAAACACAATGACTTTATTCTCGATATTTAATGAGTTTATTCTCAAGACTGTATTTCGAGTTTTTTTTCTCGAAAAACTATGACTTTATTCTCGATATTTAGTGAGTTTATTCTCAAGATTGTATTTCGAGTTTTTTTTGCAACACAACGACTTTATTCTCAAAAATTAATGAGTTTAATCTCAAGATTGTATTTCGACTTTTTTTTCCTCAAAATTTAACGAGTTTAATTTCGCATTATAATGACTTTAATCTCGAGATGTTTTTATTTTTTATTATTGCTTGGTCCTAATCCTCTTCCGTATATTTGCAAGAAACTGATTTAAAAAACATTCAGGGTTCTTTAAAGAACAGAATTTTTTTTTTATGAAAAAGAAATCTTTTGTAACATTAGAAATGTAATTTACTGTCACTTTAATGCATCCTTGCTGAATAAAAAAAACCAACTAAAAACAAACAGAAATTGCATATAACCGAAGCAGCATAAATAATTAATGTTAACGTTCATTTATATATTCAGCAGTGGAGCGGTATATACAACATGTGATAAATGGAAGTGAGTTTCTTTACCCCCAGAAAAAAAAAAAAGTTCACATTTGATTTATGGCCAATTTGACGATTTAAACGTAAAACTGCTGTAAAAAAAAAAAAGAAGAAAACCTTCAGCTGTGAGTGTGTAAAAGACAGACACACACCTTTCTTAGCAGTGGCCATTCTGGCATCAATCTGGACCGAAAGCAGGATAAGCTTGTGTTACGACCTCATCGTAGATATCATCTGACCTCAAAACAACCCTGAGAGACAAAGCAGAACAACAAAAAAAGAAGTCAATAAACAGAAGCTGATAGAAAAAAACAATTGTGTATAGATGGATTTTTTAAAAACTAGAGAGGGGGAATAATACTCTTCTAAAGCAGTTAAGAGGCTTTCATTGCTTTTGTTAAAGGAGCATTGCGCAAGTTCTCAAATTTCTAACCGTTACTGACACCGGTGGCCATTGGAGAAACTGCAGCCAGTCTCATGCTCGTTCTCGGTGCGCACGCTATTGTTTGACAGCACAGGATCTGTTTTTATAGCCAGCGCTGACCGGAGCACAATGAGAGAAACTCAAAGCCTTGATCATTTAACACTTCAGCACGATCATCTCAGTGCGTGTTTGCTGCTATGACCCTCGTGGTCTGACTACCCAATAAACATGCAACATGAAATGGCGTATTGATCAACGCGACATGTGCTAAAACTTAAACCTACTTTCCTCAAGCTCAGTTTCCAAGATTGCCAAAGCATTTCTCAAGCCATGACCGTGTCCATATTCTCCTCTTTCACTTCTTCCTATTTTTCAGCACACTTAAAAACCTCAATTGCCAAAGTCTGATTTGTTCACCACTAGCTCCCGCTAATGACGTTTTATTCTTCTATGTTAACTTCATCGTACAGTCTACATGCATGTCATACCCGAGATTATTAGATGCATGTCGTTTAGTGTGATTTGTATTGATCTTTGATTGCCTTCCAACTTCCAGATGCTGTTTGAACAGTCAGTGTTTTAAGTTTTAGTCTTTGTCTTTCAATTTCTCCACCCATATTCCTCTGGGTGATGAAAGTGCCTTTATCGGATCTCGATAAAGGAAACCGCTGTGCAGTGTTTCCTCTAGGATTTTTCCAAGCTGTGGGGGCAGGCCCATTTCCCCGGTGGGGGGGCCTTGTCTCCCCAAAGTATTATAATCGATCATGCGCATCCCGTGTGCAGAATGATGCACTTGAAGCAACACCAAGTCACAGCAAGCAATGCTTCACATTGAAAAGAACATAGCGAAGGGATTATATCTATAATATGCTTAGTAGGGCTGGACGATTTGGGGAAAATGTCATATTGCCATTGCAATTACTGAGGTCAATATTGCAATTGTGATATGCGATTCCGATATAATAAAATGCTTTCATGAGTCCAACTTGCTTGGTTCTAAAGTAAAATGCACACACAGATTAGTGATCATTCTGTGTATTAATGTTTATTTCTCAACTCAAACTACAGACAACAACTAAATGATTGATAACACCTATAATGATCAATAAACCATCAACCAAACCATCATTACAGTGAAAGCTATCAACTTTTTAAAAAAAAATATTAGACTAAAAAAAAAAAAAAAATTAACAAATTTTAAATTAAGTGTAAATTTAAATTTCAAACAATCCCCACATAAACCCATAATAAAAAACATATTTACCTGTGCCCTTCCTGTCTAAACAGGTAGGATACAGAAATTGAATAAATTTATCAAACAGTATGTGCTGCATGAATTATAAATTATATATAGAATAATCCTTATTAAAGCTACAAAAGTTCTTTAGTCAAGATCATTGAGTAATTTTCTAATTTCCCTTTATTCTTTTAACTTGACTGACAGAACGCTTTATTCGCTGCTGGCCCTTTAAGAGCACCCGTTGCCGAGACGCGGATCTCACATGCGCCTCATAGCACAACTCCTTTCGTCCTTAAGACTTTTCTTACGTTATGAAGATACTCGACAAAACGACATTTTGGCATAATTGTGTGTGTTATTGTTCGTTCAAGCACGAAAGAGAACTGTAATCTGGCACGCGTCAGTGCATGCGCATTATGGCGCGCGTCTTTCTGCGAGTCTCATTTAGGGCATTCACAGGCAGCTTTTCAGTTCTTGTCGTGCAAAATGCGAAAAGGCATTTGCACGAATAAGAACAGGATCGTGTAACACTAGTCAAAGGATGATAAAAAAGAAGAGATGCTGCGTTAATAGCCCTAATTTGTTTATTTCATATAAAATCGCGGCATTTTGCGTTATATAATTGCATAGGTTTGAGACAGTGGCGTAGCCACGAGGGGGCCTGGGTGGGCCTAGGCCCCCTCATTTACATGTCCGGTCCCCTCAGATTTCTGATTGCTTAAAAAAAAAAAAAAAGTTGTTTTATTAGGATTGATAGATTGACCAATCAAAATGCTGCGCGGTAAAATGCGGCTTATTTTCAAACTTGATTTGTTTATATAACGTGTTGCGTGTAACGTACGCTGTCATCTTCATCTTTGACTTTGCGTTTGCGTGAGAGTTAATATGCCGTGACAATGGCAGGCGCTCAAACTCAAAGTACAATATTACACTTTTTTTAAAAAGCACGGAAAGATCAACTTGATATATATATAAATAATGTTGCCCCCTCATTTAAAGACGGGACCCCCCAAAAATAGAATTCTGGCTACGCCCCTGGTTTGAGATCGCTATTACGATTGCGATATGATTAATCGTGCAGCACTAATGCTTAGTGTATTCTATATGCAACAGTTTTTTGAGCCTTTTCTTTTAACAGTTTTAAATTTCAGTGCGCATGAAGAACAATAGCACTCTCTCGACTCCATGCTGTAATCTTACATAAAGGGAATGTGAAAGGTATGGGCAATAAACTCCACTCCAGCAAGATAAAGTCATTTTATGAAAACCATAGACCTTTATGCTTTATCTACAAATGAAGTATAATAATGGGAATATTGACCTTGAAGAGAGTGTCGTCGTGTCGCAAACGAACGCGACGAGCTGTGTGAATTCTGAATGGAGAATGACTGAGGCGAGATGACTTTCCGTTAACTTTAACTTAGCGACTAAAATTACACATTATGCAATGACTTTAGAAGTCTTGGAATATAGGGTGAAAACTTGATTGTGCTTTACAAAGTTTTTTATGCCTTTAGTGGGGCTTAACAAAATAACATAATACTATGCAGAATATCGGACGTCACTGAGAAGCTGCAGCCGTGGCGGGAGGATTTTAAGTGTGGCGGCCCGCCACGGGAGAATGAATGTAGAGGAAACACTGCTGTGACTGGAATGAAAGAATATGGAGGGACTTTCTAATTCACCAGGGAGCTGAGAAACCCGCTATAGCCTAATCTGCAGGAGAGAGAGAGAGAGAGAGACAAACCTGTGCAGTATCGTTCACTAAAACCTTCCACTCTTCTGTCAAACACACACTGCAAGAAGCAGGGTGTCAAGATGTTAAATGCACATCAGAGAGAAGAAAGCTTGATGACGTAATTAAGTGGCAGAGAGCTCAGATCATCATAACCACAGCAAACATTCAGCACTGGAACGTACAAGAAAAATCTCATTGCTATTCTCATTATGACAAAACACCCAATAGTAGCCATTTAAGAACGATTGTTCCTGCCCGTTCATCCGAATAATGAAAGATTAGAGAAACTGCAGAAGGGAAAAAACAATAAAGTAAATAACGTGTTACTTTTCTAAGCAATCATCCTAACATTTTCCCCCTTAGCAACCACATAGCAACACAGTGGCATTGTAGCAGTGACTAATGGCGCTTTACCACTGCATAGTACGGTACGGTTCGGCTCAGTACGCTTCGACTCGGCGTGGAACAGTTCGGATCGCTTTTCGTTTCCACCGCAGTAGTACCCCTTCAAAGTGTGTGGGACTGATCGTTATTTGCGTGCGCCTCTACTGCCATGACATCATCTTAAAAGCGCCACATTTTCAAACCCACAACACAGGAACAATGGAGACTATCGAGGGGATGGTGTTCCTGATTCTCGGTATGTGGTTGTTTTTAACTGCTAGACGGAAAAATGTGTTTAAAATGAGGCTGATGGCAGCAAAACAAAAATACTGATAAAAAAAGTGTCTCGTGTCTCGTGTCGCAAATCCAATGACGCTAGTAGTGACGCTGGTAGTGACGATTCTGTCTGACCAATCAGTGATCTGCAGTGTTTCACGTCACATTTTAGTACCGGTACGGTACGCTTGGAACCTCAACAGACCAGGTACCATTTAAAGCGACCTGAAGCGAACCGTACTGTACCGTACCATGCAGTGGAAAAGCACCACAAGTGAGCCGTACCGAACCGAACCGTACCGTACTATGCAGTGGAAAAGCGCCTTTATGCATGGGCCGAACACCACCACATTTTCTTATGAGCGTAAAATTTGTATTTATGCACTGCATTTGGTGCACACCGAGGTGAAGTTATTGTACCAAATGCAATAACTGGTTTTTTTTTGTATACCAAATGCAATAAACTTGTATTTAATACACCAAATGCAATGGCTAATTCTTTTATGCACCAAATGCAATAAATACTTTTATGCACAAGATGCAATCGTATTTTCTGTGCATCAAATGCAATAACTCATTTTTATCGTGCACCTATGCAATAACCATTTATGCACCAAGCACAGATTCATTTTGTGCCGTAAATGTTATAAGTATTTTTGTGCACCAAATGTAATACACATTTTTAAGCACTAAATGCATTAACAATTTTGTGCACAAAAACTGCAATAAATTATTGTGTGCAATCAATGCAGCAATTATTACATTTGATGCACAACGTTTTTAGTTATTAGCTAATATTTCGATGCTCCATATGCAATAATTAAATCATACTTTTCAAAGGGTGTGGTTGCTAATACCAAAGTCCACAAAAATGCTATCCTCGACTCACTCAGTCTTTTTACTCTAATATTATATATTATAATAGACCCAAACTGAAGTTGAAGATGCAAGGAAAAATATAATGTAGAAACTACAGTAAAAAAGAGAAAAATATGCAGCTTTGGTTGGGTGTGCCCCCTTGGTCTATATTCACAAATGACTTGATAATTTAGAAAAAGAAGTGCAGAAATAATAAACAATTGCACACACACTCCGATATAAAAGCACAGATTTCCCTCCATCACACACTTCTGCTGAAGTGTCAACACAAGCGCTGCCACAGATATGAAGCAGTTACAGTCTGTACTAACATGGCACATGAGAGAAAACTGGGTCAGTGTCTCATATGGACTGATTTATATGCACATGTTCACCATTTACAACAAAAACATGCTCGGCGTGCATCTTAATCCCGAAAGCCATCTGGAAAAACACGAAACCCAGGAGAATCTGCCGTGGCTTGCTGTCATCATGCATTCTTCGCTAATGGTACACCGTAATTATCCTGAGGCAAAATACTTTGAGAAGAATGAGCCCTAACCTGAAATTATAGGTTGCAAGTGGCATATTATAAAAGTAAATCAAGCTCAATGGCGTTCAGTCTGTTGCATTACAAAGTGCTTGATGAAGCTTTCAACCCCAGCTTGATGTTGAGACAGAAACGCTGCTCTGTTAAACAATGAAACACTGACTTCTGTCGCGTTTAAAGCTGAGCTGATGGAAAGAGAGCGATGCTTGGTGGATCCTCTTCTGATAGTCGCACACAAACTTATGCAACATCGATCATTTTTAAAAGGAAATGGCTTGACGTACTCACTTGTTCTCACTGATAATGGGATTCTGCTGTGGATTACAGTCTATAACTTCTCGAGATGTTGCAGAAATGAAACAAAACCCAAACCTCCAGTCAGTACAACCCAACCGCTGGTCTGCGAGTGACTGATCCACTTCACACACACACACTTAACAGAGGCGTAACTTCCGCGTTAATCACGTGGTTTCTGCTGTTTTACTGTGTGTTAACAACGCCCGAGTTGTGAATTTAATGCTGGGGATTTTTAATCATAACACCAGTGTTGTAGTACTCGAGACTCGTCTCGGACTCGGTCTCGAGACCATATTTTAATGGTCTTGATCTTGTCATGGACTCGTGTGCATTTGGACTCGGAATTGACTCGTACTCGAACATTTTTTTTTAGGACTCGGAATTATTCCCGAGTCCACTCGAGTTCAATTAAAAATATTTTTCATGATTATTAATGTATGTTAATAAAATATTTCTTTTAATTGATTGACACGCCCAGTGATTGGTGATTTTAGTGCGCAACTGCGCATGACAAATTGTAATAAAATTACTTTTAACACCACCTACTATGTGGCCGTTTTACCCTAAACTTATCATATTTTTTAAACTCTAAGTAAATTCAGTAAAAAAAAAAAAAAAAAGGATTTCTCTAAGTAAATAAAAGTAAATTAGGTAATCAACCCTTCTCGGTCTCGACTCTGACTCGACCGTCTCTGGTCTCGGACTCGACTCTTTATGGACTCGTCTTGACTCGGACTCGACTCTCTCTGGTCTCGGTGTCGACTCGGACTCGAGTGAGGTGGTCTCGACTACAACACTGCATAACACAGTTATAACTCGGACTTTTCGGATAACGTTTGTATATCACAAAAAGGGTCAGTCCTGTTATTCGGTGCCTTTTGGCCATCATAAAATGTAGAAAATCAAACTCCGTTTTTAAAAGAGGTTTTTGTGTAGTCATGATAGGATGATGGAAAACATTTGAAAAATAAATACATAAACAATAGCGTATTTTGGTCAAGTTCGGGTAAATAGGGGCTAAATGTAACTATTTATTAAATAGGATATGTAAAAAATGATCACCCTGGTAGAGACAGATAAAAATGCCTAAAAGGAAGTGTTGTTTTTTGTGTGTGTTGATTTTTATAAATTTATTGTTAAAAAACAACAACTGCTTAACAGAGTGGACAAACTAATAACAGTGTTCACTGTTGACAATGGTATAAAGAATGGATGAGATACAACCAGTAACAATTTACCTTTGGTTTGAACTGGATTTAGATGGTAAACATGTATATCAAAAAAGTTGCCAACAAACTTTAAATGCACTACTACTTCAACTTTCCAAAGCCTTTTTTTTCCCATTTAATTTTCTACAAATTACTTTCACAATTACTATGTAAACTTTCACTGATATAACAGGGTGGACAATCATTCCTACAATCAGCCACATCAACATTTAACATACCATAGATTTACTAAATAAAGAATTGTATCGTCTTTTAAAACTGTAGTTAAAAAAAAAAATCTACTAACTTTTTTCATATTTTCCTTAAACGGGTGGACAATAAAATAGACAGCTAATATAATCAAGGTTGTTTCCCTTCAAAGAGGAGACTTCATATTTATATGAAGTCATTTAATTTCTAACATTCATTTAAAGGGATAGTAATCTTTCATCCGCTTATCGGAGACTGTTGTTGGACCGATTGGGCGGGGCCTTCCAATACTGTTTTTCACAACATGTCTCATGGCAAAATCAAGTAAAAAAAAAAATTAAATTAAAACTGCTGAGGTAAGACAACACATATTTATTTTACAATACAGAGAACATACAATGTACGCAGCAATAAAATACTTTTTACAATAACCATTTACAATGACACCGTTTTAAATCCCATAGCACTTGATAATGATAACACGATTGAGCTTAATTTCTTAATTTCTTTCTTGTAGTGTAGTTGTGTATCCAGATGGATATTCCAGGCATGACTTATTCATTGTGATAAATCAAATTCAATGTGGTTCCTCTTCGTAGACCATAATGGCACACATTCTCGTTCCCATCCAGATATTTTCCTGAAAACACATAATGCCAGCAATTACTGATTTGCAGGCTCACTCATCAAACTGAAGTTTTTAAGTTTGGTGCATCAAATCAATCTCAAGAAACAATTTACGAATGCAGTGTTTACCTTTATAAACCAAAGTCATCTTCTCTGGTTTCTTCCCTGACCTGTCACAAGCCTCCTTTAGTAAAACACTGATATTTTCCATTGGGAACACTTCCACTTCCATGGTCTTCCCAGCACATTTTACATAGAGGTTGATCTTCTCCACTTCAGCAATTTCATCAGGGTCGGTGTTTGGGTAGTACTGAGACGGGATCTGATGAACTGAAACGACAGAGTAAAACAATTATATAATAACCTTGAGAACGCATTGGCACTACATCAAGATCCCAAAAGGACATTGTTCATCATAAATCAGAGAGGACTCTGAAAAAAAGTTCAAGTAAAAAAAAATAAAAAAAAATATGGCATTCGTAATGTGTAATATGGGACATATTTGTAAGTGATACTCAGTCTTGATTTGATCTAATGGGAACTTCCTCCCAGAGTGCACTGCAGACAGACCTGAAGGTGAGTTTCCGGTGGGTTGTGCGGGACTGTTCCCCTCCTGGACCACCGACACCAACGCTTGAGCAGGTTTTGTGACTGGGATGTCATCTGAAAAGAGAAAGTTTTAGATTCAGGATTCTGAGGACAACCGTATTTTATTTGGAATAACATAAGACTGATGAATTGTGCACAATTAAGCCATGAATTATGAATTCATGTCAACTTTAATACTGCAGTTTCAGGGTCTAAACTGCTGTGAAATTCAGTCCAGCGTGTCCAAACCTTTGAGTTTGACTGGTATAGTATTATACACAAACACAACTATGAAGATAATAAGCTATAAGTGTATGGCCTAGATGTGCACCGTACGTTTGTCAGGACTCTGCGATGGCTCCGTCTGATCAGGTGTTGAACTGCTGCTTCCCCACCAGCTGATCTTCTCCCACTTTTAAAACATATTACAAATCAAATAAAAGGTTATTTTAAAGTAATGCTTGCATATAGGCTTCTACTTTTTCAGTAATCATTTGGACAGAAATGTGAGGACAGATTTCCGATTTCCACAGAATTGTAGCTTTCTCTAAATTCTACACATGCCCATAACTTGTGCCTCTGTTTTAAAACTTTTTACACTGTAAGTGAAAATGACATTGTCATATTACAGTGGTGGGTTATTAAATAACAGTCCCAAACTAGTTTTTGGTAATAGGTAATTTGGCATGAGCAACCACGAAATCTAACTGAAAATAAAGCGAAATTATTGCGGTTATGGAAACAAAATTTCCCGTGGTGAATAAATGAACTGTTGACGAAACATAACAACTCTGATGATTAATATAATAAACATACCTGCATAAAAATCATTGGTACATTTTGCTAACTTCATGACTAATTGACAACATAATTACGACGTTGCATGCGCGTATAGACCATTTCACAAGATGTAAACAGCACTGGTCCAGAAACGCTTCCTGTTTCAGTTTGTAACTGTTTTCTTTATTTCACATGTAAAGAAAACATCTTAAAGATGTTTGTTTAACTTTTCGATTCAGTTTTAAATGTTCTGTTGGTTGTATTTTATCCCAGCTTTTATGTAGTGTTAAAAAACTGAAACAGGAAGTGCTTCTGGACCAGTGTTGTTTACATCTTGTGAAATGGTCTATAGGCCTAGCTTCTTTTGCGCTTTGTTTACATCCAGCGCGCGCCACCACGTTTGCGCATTCAGTTGAAGAGCCCAACTTAATAACACCAACCGCTGACATGACTTTTAATTTCGTAAGTAGTTACGAAAATAACTTTAGGCATAAAGCCTGACAAAATCCCACCTGACCAAAGACACGTTTTCCTCAGGCACTGTTTACTTAAAGTTCACCCACAAAGTCATCACTCAGCCTCGATAGTTTCAATCATTTTTAATTGTATATATTTCTTTGTTCTGCTTAACACGAAGATATTTTCAAGAATGATTGCAAGTAACCAAACAGTTTATGAGTCCCATTAACTTCCATAGTATATAAAAAAATAAAAATAAATAAATAAAAAACACTATTGCCCCACAACATTCTTCGAAATCTTCTTTTGTCCAGTTTTGAAACAACTTGAGAGCGAGTAAATGATGACAGAATTAAAACATTTCGGTGAACTATCCCTTTAAACTCAGATCTGACAAAAACTTTCAGGATTTTAGAAAAACAGATACGTTTGTTATCGTTTCTTTGACTAAAACCCCGCTACCCACCAGCTGAGAAACACTCATATACTAAGGATGGGCAAATGCACCCTCGTGAGACTTTCCCATGAATGTTTCGGGAAAAGATTTGATCATGCACACAGACTGTAAAAAAGCATCAAGAGTGTCGAAAACAGCGCCATCTTGTGGCAGTCACATGGCAGCCATGTTTATGAGCACGTGAGCGCGCAGCGCCGCCGTTGTTTTCTCAGAAAACTGAACGTTTAGCGTTGCCAGGCTTTTACTTGATAATAGAATTCACCTATTAAAGTGTGCCAATAAAATGATTGTAACAAAGTTACTTGATGCAAGTAAATGTTGGTCTAATTATTTAAACGATTTCTATGTTGTTTAAGTGTCGGGATATATATGATCATGTAACATAGGCTATGGGCTTATTTAAAGTTAATAAAAAATGTTATTAAATCGACTTAAACTTGAAAATCGACTTAAAAACCTGTAGAGTAAGCTGTCGGGTTCACATATTCCGACAAGCGAAGTGAAGCATTCATGTCGAAAGGTTCATTTCTCATCGATCACGTGTTTTTCTGGAAACAATACGAGCTCAGGTGTTCTGTCGATTTTTGCTGCCTTGTCGAAAAATGCTACCGTAGCGCGAATTGATCACAGAATGCCGATTAAAGTCGTATGAAATACAATTCTAAGTAGTGAGTATAGCTACTGTATACTGTAGACTACTGTTTTTATTTTTAAAACGGTGTGAAAAGTAAAAATTATCATAATTCATCTTTGACTTGTCAAAGTACACGGAACTTCTTAAAAAATTTGCGCTGCCCAACACCACTAACAATAACATTGATTTTGTATGACTTTTGTCATATTACAAACCTTTTTAAAATGTATTTAAAACCAGCATTTTTAAACGTTAGGCTATCATCATTGCCTATTACACAATGTCACTCACCACCTCATTGCAAAAATGTAAAGTCAAGTAAAATGTTACCCTAATATACACTCAGCTATGTTCTACACATTATACCATAGTTAAATCCAATGCAAAGAATCTTGTATGAGATTAAAATCCAGTATAGTCTTACCAGACTAGTGATATAGCTGTAGAACCCATCCATGTCTTCTTTGTATAGAGTCTTACTGAAGCATTGCAAGCTCACCTGTTTTTATAGAGCTTAGCAACTTTCTCTTTCAGCCCACGGGCTTCCCCTTAGAAATACCCTAGGATTCTAGGATCCTGCATAACTCATTTTATGCCTGCAAATTAAACCTCTTGAAGGAATAGTTCACCCAATATGATTTTTATTTATTTTAGTGTATAAAAAGAATCACGTATCCTTCCCATAAAACTAGTTTAAAGTGACCAACACATTATTAAAACTCTAAAAAGAGTTTGCTAATTGTTTTTAGTTTCATAAGGAAAAATCATTATGTAGAGGTGCATTTGTTTAAGTATTGAAGATACTTTTTAAATAATCTTCATGTTTTCCATTACATGATGTTCATATTTAGAGGATGTTGTAGTTCAAAAATGTGTTTTGTCCCTCCGTAGAGTGCCTGAAATAGGAGAATACTAAAAAGTTTTAGTTTCAATATCTTCACAGTTTTGTCCTTAAGTTTACAGACTGGAAGGCCTTGAGTATGTTGTTTATACTGACATTTTGTCACCATGATAAAGGCCCAAATTCAATTTGGGCGATTGGTGATATACGGAGACGTCAGTGCCATTGACGCAGTATTAAACTGAGCTATTGAAACAAAGAAAAATGTACGTCTTCAAAACAACACTTTCTTGACCTGTTTGGAATTCACCTAATCTTTATGACATCTTCTCAGGTTTTACTTTCACTTCATTTTGAATGTGTTTGTCAAGTTCATTACAGCATTGCAGTCTATTGTCAAGTGAGAACCTGGTTCATTTTCTTCTGCCTGATACCTATAAGAGCTTCTGAATTATTTTCCAATTTGTGTTTAAAAATGCTGTCTAGTTGAGGAGTTCAGGAGGGCTTTAAAAGAGCTGCGGCACGGCTCAGCACGAGATTTGTATTGTTAATCATCCATCAACAATGCAGGGAAATACAAGGAAGAAGGAAACTAAAATGAAAAATAAAATGAAAAAAAGATAAATGTATACATCATTAACATTTATTTTGGAATTTTGGATACACACTGATGAATCATCAGCCCGGCTAGCTCAGTCGGTAGAGCATGAGACTCTTAATCTCAGGGTCGTGGGTTCGAGCCCCACGTTGGGCGATACATTTTAACTTCTTAGTGCATTTAACATTTGTTTTGTAAACATTCAGAAAAAACACTAATCGACCCCTTTAGAGGCACATTGGCCTCAATAATAATTCCCATAAATGATATGATGCACAATGTGCAGGCGATTCACATGCCTGAAACTTAATTTCATGTGCACAAAAGGCAATTCACGTGCACAAAATAAAATGATATATTCATAAAATACGTTTCACAAACACAAAACACCACAACCCAAATGTTTCAAATCCTTCACTCAGGAGACAAAATTACCTGAAGCCCTAAAATTATACTTACTTTTTTTGTATTTCATTTTGATCGTATTTTCTTATTTGAATTTTCTATTTACCTTTTAGTACTATGTTACTATTTAAATGACTATATTCAGTCAATGAATAATAAATCAATAGTAATTTAGTCATTTAAGCACATTCCTCAAATTCAGTTCTAAATAAATTTTAATCTTTAGCTTTAAATCTCTTACATTGTGTCTCTGTGGATCTCTTGTGGAAAAAAAATAACATGATATTTCATGACTCTTGCCACTAGATGGCCTTATAGCTCAATATTGAGCAAATGAGCTATTCCCCTGGGTCCTAAAGTCCGTTTTCCTCCAGGATGCATTCAGATACACATGTAGACACTAGACATATATATATACAGGGCCGGATTGGGACTCATTTTCAGCCCTGGAGTTTCACGCCTTAGACCGGCCCACTTTAGTTCCCGACTGACTATATTAAAATAATGTAATTAAAACCTCAGTATATAAGCAATAGTGTTCTGTACACCCTTGTAATTCATTGTATTTTTCAAAAATATTATTTTTTATTCAGTGCAATAGCCGGGTATGCTCCCTCGGGATGTTTTATTATTATTTTTTTTTTTTTTGTGAAAGTTTTGAAGTTTTGTGCAAAGAAATATAGAATAAAAGTAGGTCTAGCAAAGTCTTATATTTCTGCAAGTCACACAGAATAAACACAAATATTCTGGTTGAATAGATTGCTAGCTGAGAAACACTGCATTGTATTTATAATGACTTTGTGAAATGTTAACTAAACAGCATGAGCCTCTGCAGCTGGCCAGTAAGGTTATTTGGCAAATTTCATTCTGTAACATACAGATCTGTATAATGCTATTGTTTTTGATAGTGTTATAGCCTACATTTCTTACAGAAAATCACGACGATCATTGCGTTTGTCTTACCGAATGTGGTAGCTTTATGCAATTACAGTTTGTCTATAAGCTTTTTTTTATTTTTTATTAACGCTGACAGTAAAGTGTTGCCAGATATTGCTTCGAAAAACAAGCAAAACAAAACAAAATAATAATAATAATCCGAAATTAGTTACTAGCTTGTGTTTTGGAAATAAGATGAATACATCACTAACCCTAACATGCAACTTTCCACTTTAATAACTTTTTAAAGTGTCACGTTAAATCAGAAAAAACAGGTCCAGGAGATTACTGCACCTCTCCATTAGGTGGATCTGGCAACACGGATGCTGCACTCACGCTCTCATTCACAACGTGCTGTTCACTGCGCTAGCTTCTCACAGCAACATGAATTGGAAACACTCATGTGAGGTGGTTTAAACATGCCTAATTAATCATTCAAAGAGCATGAAATTTTATTGTTGAATGTAAAAAAAATGACCGAGGTCCGAACCTCGGTGACCTCACATCTGTGTTAAATAATCCATTGTAATAAAGTTATTCTCATTCTGGGCACAGTAGGCAATTGCTCTTCCTGCTTCTCCTTCTCTCGTTCTTTTTCTCTCAGTCTCTTTATCTTTACCTGTAAATCTCCCCTTCCCGAAGTTGAGCTTTGATTGAGTCTTTGCAATCTGATTAATGTCGGTCGTTTAAAACTTCTATCGTAAAACAGCTGTTTAGTTTAGCCACTTGCATCTTATTATCTTGGGAAGCGTCGCGTTGGGATTCGTGGTGCGTGGCTCGCGCTTCTGTGGAAATAAATCCTGCTTTGATCGGTCATCTCAAATATTTTGCCATTGCCGACGAGCGGTGTTTGAGTGCTGATCTATGGTGCTGATGATGAGGTCGGTTCTCGTTGAGTTATGGTGGTGGGTACGGCCCTGACTCGTAAGCGCTGCTATTGTCCATGTTTCGTATCTCTTTTTTTTTTTTTTGTTCGCACATCTCTAGCAACTGACTTTTTTTTTGTGGGGCTGCGAGAAAATAATAATGAAAATAGTGGGGCTGCGCTGTGACTGGAGCCTATAAGGGAAAACATTCACCCAGTGCCGTGACAACGCCGGCCCTCCTAGCCAATAAAACAGACCGGCCCACCGGGAATTCTCCCGGTGCTCCCGATTAGCCAATCCGGGCCTGTATATATATATATTTTTTGGTAAAGGTTTGCCATTTTTAGTTTGAATTTTGAGCATTTTTAGGTTTTTCGATGTGTACTGAAGCATTCCTCGTTTTCATTCATTCCTATAGGGGTCAATGTGACCCGTGAGCTAAGGATGATACTTTTTTAAATTTCAACCACAAAACTCCTCAAATCCATTCAATTTATTTTTGTTAAATAATTTTCAAAATGACACGAGGGAAGAATGAGGGTTAAAATATATTATTTTTAAGTTTATTATTGAACCACAAAACACCTGAATTGTTTTATGTGCATGTGAATTAGGCTTCAAATTTGGCCAAGACACACATGCATCGTCTTTTGCGTGAATTATAATAATTATAATATTATTATTACTATCTCTCTCTATATACCAGTTGTTTGTAGTTGCTTGAGCAAATAAAAAGAGTAAACAATGACATCACAGTAGAGGTTACCTGCATCTGGCGGCACCTGGATCAGGATTGGCTGTTTCCGTCACCATCACCTCATCCAATCGCTGAGGTCGCTCTCCATCCTGAGATTGGAAGGGAGCCAATCGCTGAGTAATGTGGAAATCAGTTGTGATTTTTAATAATAAAACATAATTCACAGCATAATAAGAACAACCTTGATTTCAGGCAACTGCGGGATTCGAACCGGAAACCTTGTGATTAATTTTACTCCCATTTAAATGTATAAGAAAAATATTTTTTTATGATAAATATTTTTAATGATAAACGTATACGTTTAAAAACATTGGTGGAACATTTATCCTTCTCCTTTCCTCTCCTTTTCTCTTTTTTCTCTCGTTATCCTGTTCCCCCGTCTCCTGTCTAACATCCATTACCCCCCTCCCTCCCAACAGGCTTTCTCCGAAAAAAAGGAAGAGATCAATAATTAATTTACCAAATGCCAGATTTATCACAACTACTTCTGGTTAGGTTACGCCACTGAATTCCTACCAGACTTTGTGAATCAAAAGCTGTCTCGTCCCTGGGTGGGCTCGAACCACCAACCTTTCGGTTAACAGCCGAACGCGCTAACCGATTGCGCCACAGAGACGGAGATATCTCCACCCTTAAAACTGAAGCAGTTCATGTGAACGTAGGCATGTTAGAGGACACATGATAATGGGAAGTGTTAGTACAAATGAAAGTGACTATAGCACGATTATGATTATTATTAAGAAACTGGCACATTAAATAGTAACACACGTTACAAAAAGGTTTAACGTCTTAACATTAGTTATTGTACTAACTAATATGAAGTTATTATGATAAATACATTTGTTACAGTATTTATTAATCTTGTATTTAAATTAGTTAATAAAAATACAGCTGTTAATTTATTGTTTTGGGTAGTTCACAGTGCATTAACTAGTATAACTTTTTAATTTTATTAATGTATAAGTAAATGTTAACATTAGCTAAGATTAACAAATGCAGTAGAAGTGCAGCTCATTGTTAGTTCATATTATCTAATAAGACTTTATTGTAAAGTGTTAATCATTACATTTATTAAGCATATTTTCATGTTCTACCAGTTATGATGGCTGTATATAATGATTGCCACTAGATGGCAGTGCAGATTATTACATAGATATTGGAACAAATGATGGGCAAGTTAATAGTTTCCTTGATTAAGCTTTTTAAACAGAAACTCAAAATACTAATTTACGTAAACCACATTATGTAAAGTGATTTGACAAAAGAAAAAAATGTTGTGATAACATCATGAAAACATGTTTTACAATGCACTGTAAAAATTATATGACCAATAACATGATAAATTAAACTCGAACGAAGTTAAGCAATTTTCCATTTTTGTTTACAAGTTATACAAGAATCAACTAATTTTTTTTTAAATCAGTTTAATGTAAGTTAAGATGGAATTGATTCAAACAAGTTGATTGTACTTTTTCAATGATTACACACCTCCTGAAAGAGGTCCCACCATTTCTCCTGACTGGGAAGAGCTTCAGAAGGATGACTCGTTGCCTCGCGTGACTTTGATTGGGACATTTTCTGAAAGCAAACACAATGAACATTTTTTTCTGACACCTGCAAACTTCTTTATTTTATAGTTAGTAGTGTCTTTGTTTTATCAGTACATGCAAAATACAACAACATTAGTTGAACTTAATTCTATTTGCTTTGCATTGCATTTGATATAATTCAAAACCCAATTAAATTGAACTGAGGTTTCTTGGAAATGGGTTAAACAAAACAAATTAGGCTTAAAATAAATACACTGCAAAAGACCTGTTACACTAATTTTGACTTCACCAACCACTTCACAACAATCCACTTCTAGTCAATAAAATATTGTAAAGCTTGGCATAACTAGAAGGATCTATATTTGTTATATATAGTTGTTTTTTCTTATTTTAAACAATTTGAAGTCATCTTGAAAGTTTGTTGAGAACCAATTGTTCTAACTTTAATACTCATATTTCAGATCACTGTTTCAGAGAAGGGTGGATAGGTCAAACCATAGACTGTAACGAAATGGGGGAAAACCCTGAAACTCCCGCGTGTCCTGGTTTGAGACTTAAAAAGTCATTGCATGCAAACTGAACTGTAAAACTAAATCTGCATATCACGTTAGTTCGTCATTCTGTTGACCCATCACTAACTTACTTTAGCCATACAAGTTAGTACTGAACAGTATCATCTAACATGACTAAATTCAAAAATGTGTACATGCTTTGCTGTTAACTAAACGTACGAAAAGCAACTTATGCTAGCTGTAGAATCCCCTCACATCAACAAACAACTCGATATTTAAAAATGACACGACATTAACGTTAGACGAATCCAGATTCTAAAGATTTGCCAAGAAGCAAACGTCTTGCGGTCGAGATGAAAATGTAATATTAATACTTTGCACGGATTTGTGCAACATTAGTAACTCACCCGATCTATTTCATCTTTTGAATGAACGCGATAAACTAGAGCCACGTGGTTCAGCCACGGATATCTAGCCCGGCTAGCTCAGTCGGTAGAGCATGAGACTCTTAATCTCAGGGTCGTGGGTTCGAGCCCCACGTTGGGCGATACATTTTTATTTAGCATATTAAATATTTACTGTAAATAAAATAAACACTAGTTGTAACCTTCAGCCCTCTAGCGGTTAAAACGCTATGCATTTTGCGGAAGAATATTGTTTAGGGTGCGCTTCGGCTCTGCGTCACTGTGCGGATGAATAGCCTAAATTAGTTCTTCTTCATAGGCTAAATTCACCGTTATAACAACAAAAACAACAAAAAAGAGCGAAATTATTCTACTGCTCATAAAACATTTACTTTAGGTTAAAGAGATATAACCAATTAAGGTGGAAAGGACCTCACGCTGACTAGCTGAAGACGTTATGCATGACTTGATCTGTAAAACGTTAGCCTAACGTTACCTATTAATACACACGGTAACGTTACTTTGAAAATAAATTCTAGCGCCATCATGAAATGAGCCTTCACAATAGATAATGCTTTACAATTAACTGTCGAGTTACATGTGGCAATCTGCTCAATAAAATACTTTACTCACCTCACCTAGGTTTAAGTAAGCTTATAGTCTCCGGGCGGAGCGAAACACGGCAGTGAAAGGGCCTATTACAGTTCATCAGAGTTGTTTTACGGATATATAAAGTTTATCAGTTTATTAAGAATCCCCTGCTAGTTGTAACGAGTGTTTTTGTGTAATTTGCTGTGTGTGTTAATAACAAAAGAAGGGAGAGAGCGAGTTTATGGATACGACGCACTTATATAGGCTGTTTATTCAGCTCGTGTTTTTCTGGAGTAAAACGGACACTATCATCATTTGTGTGACGTAGGCTACACTAAACATCATTAAAATCGTCAGTCAAATATTTGGCCATCATTCGGACGAGTCCGCTAAAGCACTGGGTAAAAGACAAGTTATAATCATACTTAAACAAAACTCTACCTGTTCAATCTCCATTCAGCGGATTAGCTGGCTCTGTAGCAGGCATTATAGTCCGACACAGGTGTTCTGACGATTCATGCTACCCATCGAGATTTGCTACTTACCGGTTATGCGCATGTGCAGACTCACAGATTTTTTTTTTTTTTTTTTTTTACAAAAGGTACATTTTCCCGTTATAATGTATAATTTCCCTTTAATGCTTACTACCATATGAATATTTGTACGGTCAGCCAGCTGAAAAAGAATAACTGAAAGTTTCAGTTACTATGAGGAAAGGTGTACTTTGACAAGTCGAAGATGAATATTTTATGTTAATTTTTACTTTTCAAACCGTTTTAAAAATAAAAACAGTAGTCTACAGTATACAGTAGCTCATAACTTAGAATTGTATTATAATTGTATTTCATACGACTTTAATCGCCATTCTGTGATCAATTCGCGCTACGGTAGCATTTTTTGACAAGGCAGCAAAAATCGACAGAACACCTGTTCAAACTGAATACCGATGTCATGACACTGATGTCATGACACTGATGACATGACACTGTCACTGACTGATGCACGAGCTCTTGAAGCTCCGCCCTCTTCTTGAAACGGGGCCAGTGTTTCAAGGAAACTGGAACTGAACTGAATAATACACAACACTGGGGCACAAGATCATTTGTATTTAAAGGGACACACACAAAAATAGTGCGTTTTGCTCACTCCCCAAAAGTGGCAATTTTAACATGCTGTAAAAAATGATCTGTAGGGTATTTTGGGCTAAATCTTCACACTACGGGGACATCATCAGAGACTTATTTTACGTCTTGTAAAAAGAGGCATACAACGTGCATCACGGAGACGTCTACATCTGGAAAACGTACTTTTGTAGAGTGTTTGTTCATCTGCAATATGCCTATAGGACGTTTCCTGTCAGATGTCAAATAGATGTTTAGAAAATGTCGTTAAGATGTAATGATAGAATGTATGTTAAACTGACATCTAATGCTTTCCAGATGAAGTAATATTTAACAATATTTGACATCTTGCTGATGGACGTGTGCCATCTGGGCAGCGACCAACCCCAGAGAGCACATGTACGTCTTCAAGATGTCTGTTTAAGATCACTTCATCTGGAAAGCATCTGCTGTTAACTAGTTTACTTACTAGACTCTTTAATCAGAGGTCAGAAATGTGACCACCGATCGTCCGCTGCATTTACATTTATATTGTTTTATCATGTTTATTTTAACTATGTGTTCTGTAATTTTATGTAAAGGCCCACTAGGGACTAACATTGAGAATTAGCCTCGGCTAAAATGTTGTAGTATGGAACAGTGTTGTAGTCGAGACCACCTCACTCGAGTCCGAATCAACACCGAGACCAGAGAGAGTCGAGTCCGAGTCAAGACCGAGTCCATAGAGAGTCGAGTCCGAGTCGAGTCCGAGACCAGAGACGGTCGAGTCCGAGTCGAGACCGAGACCAGTGAGGGTTGATTACCTAATTTACTTTTATTTACTTAGAGAAATCCTTTTTTTTTTTTTTTTACTGAATTTACTTAGAGTTTAAAAAATATGATCAGTTTAGGGTAAAAATGCCACATAGTAGGTGGTGTTAAAAGTAATTTTATTACAATTTGTCATGCGCAGTTGCGCACTAGAAAATCACCAATCACTGGGCGTGTCAATCAATTTAAAGAAATATTTTATTAACATACATTAATAATCATGAAAAATATTTTCAATTGAACTCGAGTGGACTCGGGAATAATTCCGAGTCCTAAAAAAAAAAATGTTCGAGTACGAGTCAATTCCGAGTCCAAATGGACACGAGTCCATGACAAGACCAAGACCATTAAAATATGGTCTCGAGACCGAGTCCGAGACGAGTCTCGAGTACTACAACACTGGTATGGAACATGAGCTTATGTGACATACTTGTCCCTATTCAAATAAACTTAAAATAAAATAAATAACATCTTATAGACGTCTTTAAAATGTCAGTTTAACATACATTCTACATCATTACATCTAAAAGACATCTTCTAAACGTCTATTTGACATCTGACAGGAAACGTCCTGAGCAAACACTCTAAAGCCCCTTTCACACAGAGATTCCGGAAAATACACGGATAATGTGACCCGGCATTTGTCCCGGGATTGTTTGATTTCAGTTCATTCACACTGCCAGTGATTTGCCGGGATCTGTGAGTGCGTTCACACACAACCCGTAAAGATCCCAGAAAGACACATGATGTCAGGATGAGACGTGTAACGTACGCGTCCCAGATAGCACAAATCTATTTGATGTGATATTTTCGTCTGGAAGACGTAATTTTAAGAGTGTTTGCTCTTCCTGTCCGATGTCATGAGGGGAAAGAAGTGATAGTTTTCCCCCCACTTGTAGCTATTGAAGAACACTCTTGCAGGGCGGAGTACCCATAATATTATTTAAGTACTTTTGTATACTTTTTATTGATGACTGTATGTTTTTGTTTTTAGTAATTGTTGGAGCTTGTGTTGCAAGACAAATTTCCGTGTACACGGACAATAAAGTACTATCTTATCTTATCTTATCTTATGTCAAATAGACGTTTAGAAGATGTCTTTAATGCCTAGTTCACACTACATGATTTTAAAATGTCGGGCTAAACTGTGCAGTTCACACTACATGATGACTTGCTCTCAGTGAAATCATGAGTGTTCAAGTTGTTTAGCTGTTCACACCACACAACACAACGTGATTGATCCACAACAGGAGGTAACTCACTACACGAGTTGACAACACACTACATAGAGATACAACCACGATCGGATGATAAGAGCATATCATTTGTGACTCAATGAGAGCTGTTTCAGTACTATAGTACGGTCTAAATCCTGAAAATAATCAAACAAATAACAAGTTGACAACAACACGATTCTATCTGGTCTAGAAACCATGTTTTGTCACGAAAAACCACGCAATAAAACGAACTAGAAATGACGCCCCAGACAGCAAACTGACATTGAATCAACGTGGAAACGACGTCTCTCATGACATTGAAACAACGTTGATTTGCTCATCGAATTAACGTTGAACCAACATCAGACGCGGCATTCTTCAAAGCTAAATGAAATCGAAAATTGGTTTGCTTTCATAACGTTGAAACAACGCGTTGATTTCAAGTTGATTTTCCATTAGTTTTGAAAGAATGACGCGTCTGACGTTGGTTCAACGTTAATTCGATGAGCAAAACAATGTCAGATCAACGTTGTTTCGATGTCATGTTTCCACGTTGATTCAACGTTAGTTTGCTATCTGGGGCGAAACTGCAGAGAAGAACACAACACGCGAATATGGACGTCAGACAGAAACTAGTGCTGCACACTGTTTGCTCGACGATCTGCTCTGAGAAAAAAAAAATGCAAAAAAGAAAAAGTAAGATTTACCTGGTGTCCTCAACCCATGCGTTGCTATGATTGGCTGTACTCATGACATCACTGAGATTGAGTCGCGCGACTGCTCGAGATATCTAGCATGCTAGATATTTTTCTGAGCTCGGTGACCTGTCTGCGAGCTGTCTTTGGTGCGTTGTTGGCTCTTTCACACTAACGGATTGGCGAGCGTTAATCGTCCGCTAATCGCCCGCGATTTGCACGCGATAACACCCTGACTTGTCGGCGACTCAACGATTTGCAAATCGGGCTTAAATCGGGCTTAAAATCATGTAGTGTGAACTAGGCTTAAGTCTTTAAGTAGATGTTATGTCTTTCAAATAGACTTGTGCTATCTGGAGTCGAAAACATGTACATGCGCATACCGTTCCAAAAAGCTGGTGAACAGCACGGAGAGTGAGGATCTCCTGGTCTCTGCTTCGCTCCAGTTTGCAGACATTTGTTCGTCCTTTCTTCGTTGATGACGAACACAAACTTTTTTCTAAGAGCACCAGAGTCGCGCGATGGCACGAGCATCATCATTATGACACACCCCTAACGGCATTGGTCCTGGCTTTTGTTCCGGGACTGATTCCGGCAATGTTAGTAGGTCCCAAACCTGGCATCGATGCCGGTATCAATCCCGGGTCATGTTTGCGTTCACACAGATTTCCTGGGATCAACGCGCTGTGTGAAAAGGGCTTAAAAAATACGTCTAGATGTAAACACACACATCAAATAGACATCGCTGTGATGTACGTGTGCTATCAGTGAAAAGAATAGACTATCTAGTTGTTACGGATTTTCAGGAACGACAGTTTGCCGACACGCAAGTTTTATTGATAACAAAAAGGGGGGAAAGGAGGGAGAATTTAGACTGAAGTCTGTCTAAACTGAATTTAGACAGACTTCAGAGGTTTAATGATGTACCTCAAAATGGAGCATCAAAGTGAATATTTAATGACTACAATAGTAATGCCTCGCTAGAAATGACACCAAAGGTGCAATCTTGATGAAGATTAAGTTTCTGCAGGAAAAAAGGAAATGAAACTAAGACTGCATTCCTTCTCACCTCGGAGTGCTGCATTTTTTTCAGTTTTCTGACGTAGACTTCTGTTGTCTATCTATAGGATTCCTTTTATCAGGGATGATGACGCCTCAACTGGCACACAACTGACAGTTGTGACACACCTTTACACAGTTAAACTTGCACCCACATTCAAAACACCAGTGGCTGTTGATATGACAACGTCATTACGAGAGGAGCCACCTTCCCCTTGGCTCAGTGAGTAATGCACCTGTGCTCCTCATTCTCTTCTGACCGATCAAACAAACACATCATCTTTATCTGGCACTACCTAAGGATATGTTTCATTATTAGGAAGCCTCAGGGTTCAGAAAAGGCAAGTTAATTACGATTTACTAATCAAATATCAAGTCATTTAATTACACCGTTTTAGCACTTAGGCTTATATGCCTAAATCAAACACTCATAACAAGCCTTCCTTTAGGCCTATAGGTCATTCTTTTAAAATTGATATGCGTTTTAGAGTGATCCTGACTATTACTGTACTCATTTTCAAGTATCATTTTTGAGAAAATTAAATCTAGGAAAATGTTTAGAAGTTTGAAAATGTAGAATGCACTTTGATGTTTGAGTTATTTTGCCTTTTATTTTCTCAAAACGTATATAATAAAAATTGATTTGAAAATGAATACAATAATATTCAGGGTCACTCTGAACATTGATCAATTGAAAGAAAGGAAAACGTTGTTTGAGTGTTTGAAAATGGGAAATGATGTAAGAAGTGCTAAAATTCGCTTTGATTTTGCCTTCCATTTTCTCGTGTATAGTAAAATTACTCAAAAGGTGATGCAGTGATAGATGGGGTAACTCTGAACTGGATTTTCAACAAACATCTGAAGAAAAACGTTTCATGACTGAATGGAATTATCCAATTATCCTCCTTTGTTTTATGCAATATTATTTTGGGTCATCGCGAACTTCGATCCATTGAAAATATCAGCAAAAGTATAAAGGAAACTTCTTTAAAGGAGTAGTTCACTTTTTAAAAAAAACTTGCCCATGTCATCCAAGATGCCCATGTCTTTCTTTCTTCAGTCGAAAAGAAATTAAGGTTTTTGACGAAAACATTCCAGGATTTTTCTCCATATAATGGACTTCAATGGGAACCAAACGGTTCAAGGTCCAAATGAGAGTTTCAGTGCAGCTTCAAAGGGCTTTAAACGACACCAGACGATGAATAAGGGTCTTATCAAGATCACGGCTTAAAGAAAATCCAGAGCTTCCCACTCGTATTTACGACATTATGATGACGTTCACCACTTTTTCACACTGCATCTTAACTGGATAGTTCTGTCATGCATCCTATCATTGTTTAAACTGCCCTGTCAATCATCGTGTTACTGGTAAAATCCTCCACATTCAATTTAATTTAATTTACTACTGTTTTGGCGAGAAATAGTGGAACATTGATCTAGATGTGGGACTCTCCTCATGCGTTTGTAATTTGCATGCATTTAAAAAAGTTAATTACCAAACCAAATATTGACTTACCAAATATTGGCTACATAATCTTATCACAAAAATTCTTTAAAACTGTCACATTGAGAAGGCAGGCAGTTGATTTAGAACGTGTCCCACCCACTTTTCAGATAATTCCTATGCGTCTGCTTTATTATTACACACACTCCTTTTAATATGTTGATGGACACCTGATATTCAAACACAGATGTCATGCCAATTCAAGTAAAAAGGTTGCTAAGTAACTGTCAGACATTATTTACAAGTTTCTTTGTGTTTAAGCCTCTAATATCATTGTTTCCACACTGAAAGAAGCCTTAGCTTGATACTTTTTTTTTTTTTGAAAAGGGACAATGTACACTAATCAACATTCAAAACAAATGTAAGTGCACCCGAGTTAGCCACAGGCTAGTTTTCATCGGCAGTCCCCTTGCCAGATGTTACTAGGCATCCTAAAATAATAAATAATAACAATGCAATACAGTTCTATATACAATAAACAAAAAGTAAAAAGATTAGACTGTGTTAGAATCACAAATAATCGAATAAACATGAGATATAAAATAAAATTAGATGTTAATAGACTGTTAGATTTTGGTGATGCCGAGCAGTGGTTTCAGTGGCTCGCCAATGTATTGGATTTCTCCAATACATAAAATAAGTAAGCTTGACCAGTTCTTGTGGGGAGAAGAATTTATTGAAGGTTTGTAGTGTAGCAGTCCTTCAGCAGCGATGTTATCATGTCACCCTTCAACAATCTTAACCCCATGTTCTGTCTGTGAGACAGAACTTTATTAAGAAGATTATGGGCTACAAACAATAGAAACCTGTTAGGACCTCCCACAGGAGATACTAATCCACTCTGAGCAATGCTGAGTCTTTGTCATTCACACCAATCAGTTTCTGTGGGCCATACATCTGAATGGGCCATTCATCTGTATGGGCCATTTGACACACACCTTTGCAGACACCGACAGAGTGGATTAATTATGATACACGTCACAATGTAAATGAATCTGATAACTGAAAATACAAAATCTATCAATCCCCCCTTTGATCATATTTGATCACAAAACAAACTTCATTATATACAGCATGCTGCATACAGGCTCCACTTAAAATGACAGAATAAGAGTTCATAGTGAAACTTTGCATCCTCTTGAATTCTTGAGTCCTCTGGTGGCTTTTATTTTGGAGTTGTGTTCTGTTGGAAGTGGCGGATAGGGTTGTGTTCTGTGAATGTTCAGAAGTTTTTATCTAGGTGACCAGTGCAGTCTAAACGTTGAATGCAATTGCTCATCCTCTGGAATGCTGGAACACCTGCAATCACACAAAAGAGAAACGGAGAACGTATCTTTGCCAAGGAAAATATTTTAAAGACATAATTCATAATTGCCTGACAAACTGTCCCTATTTAATATTGGCAGGACACTACTGTGTTTATCAGTGGCTGTATGTTTATGTCTTCGTCCTCAGGCGACAAGCTAGGGCCTAAAAACCCTAGTCCCGCCATATCTGGACTCTGATAAACACTACTGCCGTCTATCCCTCATCTCTAGGCAGATGTTTCAAATCCCATTGGCTCACATCAGTCCACTCATCTTTTCTCTGCACCTTAACTGCTTCATCAGTTACCATGAGATCCTGTAGGCTATCCCTCTTGGATTCTAATGATGAAAATGGATTCTTGGCATTGTGTTCTACCAGGCTGAGTCTTTCATCAGTTTGGGCAAGGCTGTCAGATGTTAGATTTTCTTTGGACAGGGGCCGGCCAATGACATGTTCAAAAGGGCATAGTCCAATTTCCTTGTGGTCATCCTTACTGCATTGCTTGTCATTATGCAGTTTTGTTTTAGCTTCCATCACTGATGTCATTTGTTTTCTGGGTGCTTCATCTGGAATAAGTTTACATGGCAAAACTTGAAGTTGAAGTTGTCTTAATGCCGCTGTATGTGCACCTCTCTCCTTTACGGCTTGTATAGCAGCACCTTCTACTTGGACATCATCTTTGGCTTCAGTTGTTGAGACTTCTGTGTATGCTTTTACCTTTGGGGTGGTGTCTTCATTTGTCATTTTTGCATACACATGGAGTCCATCAGTTGTCGGATGAGATGTCACAAGTTGGTGCTGCAGAGAGAGGCTCTTCAGTTTCCCTGCGGCTCAACAGCGTTTAGCAGAGTCTGTTTTTGTTTATCTGTCAACTGCTGAAACCTCCTCAACAGGTTGTCCTCATCATCACTTTGACGTTTTAAACTCAGCTTACAATCACGGACCCAGTGTCCTTCTTCGTTGCAGTACCTGCATCTTCCTTGAGTTTTTGACTGTCTATTATCTTCATTTTCTTTATGCTCATTCCACATTGTCTTGCTGTGGTATGACATATTCTTCGATGGCAATGCTCTGAGTTTGACTTCCTGTGTTCTTTCAATCTTTGCTGACCACTCAACAATCTTTTGAAAAGATGTTCCAATGCTGTCCCAGTCGTCATATCGGATTTTGAGTGCTTTTGAAACTTCAGGTTTCAGTCCATTTACAAAAGCAGTTTTCAGAGGCATGCTAGTGTCCTTGTCCAGATCCTCACTGTCATTTACACCGGAGTGTTCCAACCAGGTTTGTCTGAAGCGTTCTTCGAACTCCGCAACAATTTCTCCAGTCTTCTGCATACATGAGGTAATTCTAGCCCAATTAACCTCTGCAGGTTTCAGTTCAAACAAGAATGTTCGTACAGCTTCCCATCCAGCCTCAATGTTTTCTTGAGACTCGCCTACCCTGTTTTCAACACTTTCAGTTATCCTCTTTTGTTCCTTGTCCCTCAAGTTCACATTAACAATCATCACACCATCTACTGGATGTAAATTGTAGATCTTCTGTAAACGTTGAAGAAATTGCCATACTTTTCGTGGTTGTTTGTACACATCTGGTAACTCCTTAGACCACTTGTCTACTTGCTCTGGTAAAGCTGGCTGGTATGTCTTACAGGGAACATATTTCTTAATTATTTTTGATACGATGCGGGTTCTTCTTTCGCCTTCCTCCTCATACTCCTCCTCATTGTCAACTTCAATTTCAGTCCTTCTGTTCTTGACAATTACCGGAGCGAGTCTAACCTTTTTGTTTTTCTTGGTGACATTAGCATGTGTCTCAGGTTCAACATCACTGTCATCAGGGCTCTCAGTCGAGCTGCTGTCACTTTCTCCATGCAGATACTGACGTTGTTGAAGCTTCTTGAGGTCTTTAAATGGATAGAGTGACTCTTTCTCTATCTTGCTGCTAGATTTTATGGGATTTGGTTTTGCAGAAAGCAACTTTAACAGCTTGTTGTTATCATTCAAGAGTCTTTCTTTTTCCTTCTTTTCATTTTGCAGTTGTTCAGCAAGTGCTCGAACTTTTGCTTTCTCTGCTTTGTACTCGCGCTGTGATTTGTCAGTCTCACACTTCTGTCGATGCTGTAGAATTTGTTTTATCAAAATCACAGACAAGCCATCTCTGTTAGTGTTTGTCCTTAAGCGCTGCATCTTTCCATAAGCCCTTTTAATGTCCGGCAAGGCCCATATTCCACTCTCTAAATACTGCTTGATGCCATACTTCTGGCACATGTCATCATGGCACTTCCTCAGTCCCAGCCGTTTGCCCAAATATGCATTCAGATTGTCCAACATCTGATCAATGGTAACATTTGGAGGTTCTGTTCCATGTCTTTCTGTTGTTGGCCTCAGTGCAGGGCCATTACCATTGTTTAGTGCAGACTCAGCCATGGCAAGTACAGGAGAGGTGCCCTCAGAGGTGTGGAAACAAAACAAAATTGTTTGAGCCGTTAAAGGTGCTTATTTAAATTCTCAGCAGTCTTTAGTCTGACCATTTCAGTCACACAGACAAATCATTAATTTACTAACTCAGCTTAGTTTTCAATCCTACATTCCAAACAAAACATTCACATTTAGACCAAGTTTCTTTGTTTCATTTCTAGAAAAGAAAACTCCTGATTGATAAGACTCATTCAGTTCTTTCTTAGTTCTAACCTGAATTGGTTTAAATTTGTCCCTTAGACATTAGATTTTCAATCTTTCTGCATCTTTCATCAGAAGGCAAATAAACTTCTACTTTCTAACACAATTAGAATGTTTAATTCAAAACTAAAATATTGGTTACTGAATTAGCACCCAGTCAAGAATTACCAATTCTTGCAGCAACTTCAGTCCCAAGCATTTTAATCTTATATTGGTTACTGAATTAGCACCCAGTCAAGAATTATCAATTCTTACAGCAACTTCAGTCCCAAACATTTTAATCTTATATTGGCTACTGAATTAGCACCCAGTCAAGAATTACCAATTCTTGCAGCAACATCAGTTCCAACAGTTTCGCTTAAAACAGTTTCTACAATTTCTGGACGAATGGACTCAATTGTTGCTTTAACAATTCCTACAGACTCCAAAAAAAGGACCAAACCTTTTACTATATTTCAATGGCTCCTACAGTCTTATGAGAACGGACCAAACCTCTTCCTTAAATGATTCTTAGAGACTCACGAAAACAGGACCAAGCTATAAAACTTATTTCTATAGCTCCTACAGTTTCAGGAGAATTAATTAAATCATTTAAAAGGTTCCTACAGACTCATAAAAAAGGACCAAACCTTTTACTATATTTCAATGGCTCCTACAGTCTTATGAGAACGGACCAAACCTCTTCCTTAAATGATTGTTAGAGACTCACGAGAACAGGACCAAGCTATAAAACTTATTTCTATAGCTCCTACAGTTTCAGGAGAATTAACTAAATCATTTAAAAGGTTCCTACAGACTCATAAAAAAAATGCCCAAGCCTAAAATTCTTAACGATACACAGTATGTGTGACTACACTACAAATCTTTACTGGTCAACTATTATTCTTTTCAGAAGATGTTCTTTTAGAGAGCTGACAAGTTTCACTCACCAAATTAGGATATTTGAGACCGGATCCAGTTGATTCAAATAAATTGTGTCCACATATGCAGTCTTTTCTGATGCAGATGCAGTCTTTCAGATACTTGAAAACTATTCCGTTTACTTCTTGTTGCCGCTGATGAGTTCTCTTCTTGTCAGTCTCTCCTGGCTGGCTCGCCAAATTGTTAGATTTTGGTGATGCCGAGCAGTGGTTTCAGTGGCTCGCCAATGTATTGGATTTCTCCAATACATAAAATAAGTAAGCTTGACCAGTTCTTGTGGGGAGAAGAATTTATTGAAGGTTTGTAGTGTAGCAGTCCTTCAGCAGCGATGTTATCATGTCACCCTTCAACAATCTTAACCCCATGTTCTGTCTGTGAGACAGAACTTTATTAAGAAGATTATGGGCTACAAACAATAGAAACCTGTTAGGACCTCCCACAGGAGATACTAATCCACTCTGAGCAATGCTGAGTCTTTGTCATTCACACCAATCAGTTTCTGTGGGCCATACATCTGAATGGGCCATTCATCTGTATGGGCCATTTGACACACACCTTTGCAGACACCGACAGAGTGGATTAATTATGATACACGTCACAATGTAAATGAATCTGATAACTGAAAATACAAAATCTATCAAGACGATACAATTATTGTTGGTGAATTGGACCCGCATCAAATGGATGCTTTATCCACTTACTTCGTCAAGTCAAGTCACATTTAGTTATATAGAGCTTTTTACAATACAGATCGTATCAAAGCAGCTTTAAAATTGGTTATCAACATATTATTACATAATTTAAAGTTTTTTTATTGTTTTTTATTATTATAATTGAACAATATCAATTTACAAAACCACATAGGGAACAATAAAATGTCTATTACAAAATTATACACTTTTCCAATCATATCTCCTCCCAGCACTTAAAGGAGTAGTTCACTTTAAAAAAAACTTTTGCTGATAATTTACTCACCCCCATGTCATCCAAGATGTCCACGTCTTTCTTTCTTCAGTCGAAAAGAAATTAAGGTTTTTGATGAAAACATTCCAGGATTTTCTCCATTGGGGTCCAAACAGTTCAAGGTCGAAATGAGAGTTTCATCATCAAAATGAACAAATCTTTTTTCAAGTCATTTCGTTTGTTGAAAGAACCAAATGACTCGAAAAAAGATTCGTAGGTACGTGAAAAGAAATTCACAACGCTTTATCTGTAGAGTGGGAAAAGGATCCTACATAGGGTGAGGCTAGTTGGCAATTTCAGCACTGCGTTGTCATCGGGTCCAGGCTAAGCTCCTCGCCAGATCTGGATACGGCCTGCGGGAAAACCTCGGTATAAACAAAGACACTTAAATTAGTGTATGATGTCATTCTTCTTATGATGTAAGAGTACATCAGGATTTAAGGGAAGTGTTCCCAGTTCCGGCTGACCTAATCTATGCAGCCTAACATTGAATTATAGAAGTCTATAACGTGTTATGTGTATGCTAGGCCAAAGAGATGCGTTTTTAGTCTAGATTTGAACTGAGAGAGTGTGTCTGCTTCCCGGACAATGGTAAGAAGACTATTCCACAGTTTTGGTGCTAAACAGGAAACTGACCTACCGCCATCAATCGATTTTGATATTCTAGGTATTATCAACTGGCCGGAATTTTGAGATTTCAATAGACGTGAAGGACTATAATGCCAACTAGCAGTGTTGTGCACTCGAGACTCGGACTCGGTCTCGGACTCGGTCTCAAGTCCATATTTTAATGGACTCGATCTTGTCATGGACTCGTGTGCATTTTGACTCGGAATTGACTCATACTCGAACATATTGGGAGTCAAGACTCGGACTTATTCCCGAGTCCCATTCAAACTATGTCATGATTATTACTGTATGTTAATATTTCTTTAAATTGTTGTTTGATTGAAACGTCCAATGATTGCTGACTTTCTTGTGCGCAACTACGCATGACTTGAGAGTATAACGTTCGCGGCACGCAAATGCAGCAAGACCCAGGTCAGATGTGATGTGGAGCCTCTAGCTCAACTATGTATTGAAAATGTCTGCCTTATCATCCGTAATTCAGTTTGCATATAAGAGCCACACAGAATTCGTGTGCAGTAATGTTATGTGAAAGAGCATAACAAATGTTATGTGTAATAATTGTGTGTAATCTAATAAAATTACCTTTACACCACTATGTGGCCTTTTTACCATTACAGTGTACATGATTCCATAGTATATTTGGTTTACTGTTTTAGTATGGTGCCAATTTTATTGTTACCACCAAATATTTTACATATTCTTGAAGATATCTTTAAGTCTGGTTTGAGACCCAACCTTAGGTTATCTAACCTCTTTGGTCTCGGTCTCGACTCTCTTTGGTCTCAGTCTCGACTCGGACTCGAGTGAGGTGGTCTCGACTACAAAGGCCATACTTCCTGGTTCTGGTAAGAACTCGAGCTGCTGCGTTTTGTACCAGCTGAAGTTTGTTTATTAAGCGTGCAGGGCAACCACCCAGTAGAGCATTGCAATAATCTAGCCTTAATGTCAAGAACGCATTAACTAATTGTTCCGCATTTGTCAATGTGAGCATATGACATAATTTAGAAATATTTTTTAAAATGGAAAAAATGCCGTTTTACAGATACTAGACACGTGCCTTTCAAATGAAAGATTGGCATCAAAGAGCACACCCACACTTTAAAAAATGGTGCTAAATAGCACTAAGTCAAGTCAAGTCAAGTCAAGTCACATTTATTTATATAGCGCTTTTCACAATACAGATTGTATCAAAGCAGCTTCACAGTGATAACATGAAAGTAGCACAACACAGATCAACAACATTGCTAAACACTAAATAACCCCAACTGAGCAAGCTCAAAGCAAGCCAAAAGCAAGGCGACAGTGGCAAGGAACCAAACTCCATCAGATTGGATGGAGAAAAAACCTTGGGAGAACCCAGGCTCAGTCGGGGGCCAGTTCTCCTCTGGCTTACATTCATATTGTTTAAATATAAATATTAAATATAAATATTGTTTATGAATCAAACGGCGCCATAACATATCGCAGGCGTTGAGTCGTCTCTTCACAGGCGTTGAGTCGTCTCATCACAGGCGTTGAGTCGTCTCATCACAGGCGTTGAGTCGTCTCATCACAGGCGTTGAGTCGTCTCATCACAGGCGTTGGGGCATCCGAAATCCCCGTGAGAGGCTGGACACAAAACTGGACCTGACGAACGCCATTTTTCTCGGGACAAGCGTCCCGAGATAACAGCAGAAAGGCAGATGGGAAATAATTAGCATAGCTGATGTTCATAATGATTTCCGTTATAACTCACAAACTCTCCGTAACCTGAACTCTCCGCAACCCAACCATACGCGCCGACCCGTTTGTCTAAAAGGCTGTCGAGCCCCACTGGTGCGTTAAGCAGTTTCAGTGGCAAACGGTTCCGTATGGCATAACAGAGGACTAGAAGGTAAGCATTATGTGAAAAAAAAGTCACATAAAAGTGGTTCACTGGCTTGTAATCATAGGGGAACAACTTTAAGTGCTATATAGCACTTATCTTTGTCATATGGTGCCATGTAGAACCACAAGAGGTGCCATAGAGCACGTTAACCACCCTAGAGAACCACTGAAGAACCGGTGGTGCTATATAGCACCATGACCACCGCAAAGAACCTCTGAAGAACCTTTTTTTTTAGAGTGAGATGTGAACTTTAGAAAAGTGAAAAGAAACTTTTTCTCAAACTATTTGCTTAGAATGTCTCCTTGTCCTTAAGTGCCTAATGACTTGATTTGTGTTTCCAAACAGGACGCGCATGGAGACCTCAGAGAGTGACTCTGCTAGCAGCAGCAACACAGAGGTTAATCACGCCGAGACCGATTGCAAAATCCTTGAAACTCTGGAGCCCGAGTCCGAACTATGCATGAAAGATATTGAAAAACTTTTGACCACCAATCCAAAGGACTTTAAACACTGTAAACTTGAAATAGAAAGACACGACCAGGCGTGTGCCAGGCCTCTTGATGAACCAACGCTCTCTATCAAAATCTATGGAAGAAAAAATGTTGGCAGGTCTTTTCCAGGAGATGAAGTTTGTGTAGAGATCTTGAGCAGAGAAAAGTGTCCGGGGCAAGGTGAAGTGATAAAAGGGAGGGTCGTTGGATTAATAAATAGAAATGAAAACTCATTAAGCTTCATCTGTAAGATGGTGGAAGACAATCCTCAATATGTTATACCCATTAACAAATGCATGACCAGAATACATACAGTTCAAAATAAGAAGGACACGGGCAAAATTGAAGTACGACAATACGAAAGCGGCCGCTGGGTTAGAAAGGAGTCTGTGAACATAGCTGAGAATCAATTGTTAGTTGTCAAGGTTTTAAAATGGGAAAATCGGAAAACATTCCCTCTTGGTGTGGTTACAAAAGTAATTCCAATGAATGATGCGTGGCGTGAAATTCTATGCATTGAACTTGGCTCTAAAAACACACCACCACCATTCAAACTACAAGCACCTGAAGATGATGAGGCTTTAAAAAGGGAGGATTTGTGTGACGTTATCACTTTCACCATTGACCCAACTTCAGCTGAGGACTTGGATGACGGCTTTAGCGTGACTGAGCTTCAACCGGGTGATTCCTACCAGATTGGTGTTCACATCACAGACGTCGCAAGTTACATCCCCAAAGATAGCGAGCACGACAAATTCGCAAGACAGCGCGGCAGAACAATTTACACTTCCGAGAAGGAAGACGTTGCCTTCATGTTCCCAAGAGATCTGAGCAATGAATACTTGAGTTTGACCCCAAATAAACCTCGGAAAGCCATTTCCTTGCTGATAGAAGTTGATAAAAAAACAAGCGAAATACTAAACAGCCGATTTGCTCTAACCCGCATTAAGTCTGACAGACGGATGTCGTATGAAGAAGCAGACCAAATTATTGAGAAGTACTACTACTCGGATGACGCAAAGCCTCTACGGGTCTCATGTGTGGAGGACTGTGTAGCAATTGCTTACCGTTTCTCCGAGGTGCACCGAAAATGCAGACTCGAAGGCGAATGGGCATATGGGATGCAGGCAGGGCAAAGCTACTCTCACGTCATGGTGGAGGAACTAATGAATCTCTACAACAGTGCCGCCGCTGAAGAACTTATATCTAAAGACGTCACACGAGATCTCACACCACTCAGGTGCCAACGCAAGCCGGACCCAGAACAACTGGAACAGTTTAGAGAGAAATACATGAACCTAATTCCCATGTCACTTTACTTTTCAAATATCTGCGAAGTAGATGGTGAAAATAGTGAAGAGGATGTTTGGACCAATGCAGAATGTGAGCATGCAGGAATATCACTGAACATTTTCACCTCCATATTTCACAAGATGGAAGAGTTTGCACAGACAAAAGACTACAATAAACTGATGCAGTTGATTTTTTCAGATGAAATCCATCCGACATTTGTCCCCATGGTGCGGGAGTTTCGTGAGATTCAGAAGAAAGCCTTCATTTTTCGCTCGTGCTCCTCGCTAGATTCCAGGTTGGGCCACTATGATTTACAGCTTAACGCCTACACCTGGGCGTCATCTCCTATGAGGCGTTATCTGGACCTTATCTTGCAGAGACTTCTGCACACTGTGCTCTCCAAGAAAACCCTTAAGCAAGCCGACTACACACAAGATGAAATCAACAGGTTTTGTCAGTCTGGAATGGACGCCGAAGAGAAGGAAGCCCAGCTGTTGAGACTGATAAATGTTCAGTTTGAACCCAAAAATGTGGTCAAGCTCGCAGTAGTGGACCAGATTACTCCGCAGGGGCATGAATTCACAATATCTTTCCCTCTGCATCCTACGTTAACGATGATTACCATCATGTACAAGCATCTCAAAGTTGTGGATCAGCCAAAATACAATAAGGACAAGAACTCCATGACTCTTCATTGGAAGAGGAGAGTGTATTCGTTCGGCAAATCATTCAAGATTTCAGAGCCCATGAAGAATGCGACTCCAGTGTCAAGTATACTGTGGAGAAGACTGAGATCTGCCGTAAAACAGCGGGATTGGGTTAAGACTGAGCAGTGCCTCCGAGACATGAAAAGAGGGGGGAATGAGAATGAAGAAAATGAAGAGGTGAAAGTTGAGCAACACTTTAAGGAACTAACTATAAAGCTGGAGTTAGGCAAGGTTGTTCAGGTGCAACTTGGGCACGAACTTAAAGATGGCTTACCAGTTCCTGTAGTTCTGCTGCTCAGCATTAATGAATGCTTCGAGATCTGTTTGGAGCACACGAGAAACCCCACTGTGTGCTTCGCAAAAGCAGAATGCAATGCGTCTAAGACCATCTATAACGGCTACAAGGAGTACCAGAACATCTGGAGACGACTGTGTCAGATAGACACCGCTTACAATGCTTTGGAAGAAAACAATAATGTCATCTTAGAGGATGTGCGGATTAAATGGAGCGGGAATGAAACAAATCTCCAAGGGTTTTTTTATTTAACCAAGACTCAAAAAAAGGAATGGTCTCTGGAGTTTGACCTTAGCAACTGCTTCTTGTGCATCAGACTACGACACCAGAAACCACAGAACGATTATGCAAAACAGTCGCGTGGTTCTGCGGTTTCAGATCTGCAGGGTTCGCTGCCTTTCACATGGGTTGCTCATGCAGTAACCAGCAAACCAAAGAAAAAGAAGGATACAGACAAGAACGACCGGATTAATTTTCAAATCACACAAAGATCTATGAGTTACATCCCACCCGAGGTTAATGCCAAGGAAACCAAATTCACCATTGAGGTCATTCCCAAAAAAATTCCATTTGTGTGAGTGATCATTCAGCCAACTGATATATTACAGATGTATTCACAAATGGTTTGTAACGAATGCAATATTATTGCAGGCTCAGGGAACAAGCGATCGCAAGCCTAAAACGGGCTAATAACCTGGTGAAAAATGTCGCCACTAGACAACAACTTGAAAAACTGAATGATGGTGAGTGAAACAAAATGCAAACTTTATTGTAAATGTTATTCAAAGCAGATGTTTTAATGCAAATCTTATCCATCTAAGTAGTACAATGGTAGTACAAAAATAAATTGCCAGACACATTAAAGGGATACTCCACTTTTTTTGGGAAATAGGCTCATTTTACCACTCCCCCAGAGTTAAACAGTTGAGTTTTACCGTTTTCGGATGTATTCAGACGATTTTCGGATATTTAGAAGAATATCAGTAACCAGACAGTTTCTGGTATCATTGACTTCCATAGTATATTTTTTTTTCCTACTATGGAAGTCAATGAGACCAGAAACTATCTGGTTACTGATATTCTTCTAAATATCACAAAAACGGCTGAATGGATTCGAAAACGGTGAAACTCGACTGTTTAACTCTGGGGGAGTTGTAAAATGAGCCTATTTCCAAAAAAAATGGAGTATCCCTTTAACACATGAGTCCTTGCAGCCGAACAAATGCATGCTTGAGGAATACAGGGGGACTGTTCCCATAGGTTACACCATTTTCTAATGGTGAATTAAATTATGTAAGAGGACATTTTATTGTACACTATAAAGCACCGGTGTCCAAAGTCTGGCGCTTGGTGATGCATTTCAAACTTGTCTATTAAAATATATCAATGTGACCCGCCACACACAATATATAAATCATGCAATTTCACGATCAACACAAGGTCACAGGACTAGATGTTAGAATATCTCATGTATGTGTTAACATGGCCAAAACCTTCTTCGTGTTGAATCAGATGCTGATGTGGAAAATTTCGACTTGTACGATGTGGATGAGAGCCTGAACCTGAACCTGCCACCTCTGAATGAAAGCCAGCAGAAAGCTGTTGAGGAAGCCATGAAGAAACCTTTTACTGTCATTCAAGGCCCACCAGGTATTAAAATACTCTACAACGTTTGTGCTGTACTTTTTAAAAATCTTCCAAATGACGACTGCACCTCGTTCACTGTTTTTACCCTTCAAACAGGAGCACTCTTCTAATGCAGAGTGAACTTTGAAACAAATTTGATCTATACTTCTACTGCATTATTTGGATATAGCCGCCAACATGAATACTACTGTACATGTACAGTAATCAAGAAAATTAAAGATGCTTATCTCAGTAAATTCAACATTTATGTGCTTATTTATTTATTTAGAAATATAAGGAACAGCACTGCTCTGAATCTCCCCACAATATTACAGGGTACATTTCTTTAGTTTGTTGGAAAAACATTTCCGTATTAAGGAATTCTGCATTCTATAAAGTCATCTTTTGTCGCAAATTGTCTGAATCGATATGTGATTTCACCATTGCAGACTCATTTTGTTCCTGAGTGATGTGAGTTGTGTTTACACTAACATTATTGCTCATATTTGAGGATTGGCAATTGTATTTCTCTAAGCGTTTTTATATGGACATGAATCAATAAATCCAATGTCATGGCAGCATAGTAATATACAACTCTTTCTTTCCTTTTTGGGAAAATGCTGAATCAGTGTCATGTTTTCATCCACAGGTACAGGGAAAACAGTGGTTGGTATTCACATTGTTTACCAGTATTTCATGAAGAACAAAAACTTTCTGCCCACTTCTGAATCCTCCAAATCAACCCCTGATAAGAAACCCCCCAAAAAGCCTGCTATCCTGTACTGTGGACCTTCGAACAAGTCTGTGGATATTGTTGCAGGTGAATCGTGTATTCTGGTCTTTTTATATATAGATAGTAGACCCTAGTCTAATTACAAATACAAATCAAGCTCTAGAGTTTTTATAAGGGAGCCAGAAAAACATACAGTGTGCAAATGTTTGGGAATGATCATTCAGGTTGCTAGCTATAAACATGTGGACAATTGTTGAATGTGTGCTATACTTACAAAAAGAGAAAACTGAGCAAGAAAAGAGACGGTTTGCTTTTATGAATTGGATTCTGGCTCTTTTCAGTATGCGATGGCGAATCAAATTAAACTTGTGTGAAGCATTGGCATTCACTTGCATGCGTAGAGTATGTTTCAGACTTTATTTTACTTGTTAAACGGTGTGTACTCACATTACCCATTGATCTTGTGTCCCAGAGCAGTTGTTGAAACTCAGGGGAGTCCTAAAGCCTCTGAGAATCTACTGTGATCAGATGGAAATGCGTGAATATAAATATCTGGGCAGTGACCTGAAGCTTTGCCGCAGATCCCTCCGTGATGAAAAACCGAACGAGAAGCTCAGGTAAGATCTTTATGTAAAGGAAACATAAAAGTTGGGAGTGAAAAAACAAGCATGTATAGGGTTAAAAGCAGCGGTCCTAGTACTGAGCCTTGAGGTACTCCATAATGAACTTGTGAATCATTTACTACTACAAATTGGTAATGTTCAGATATGTACAATTTGAACCAATGCCAATGCTACACTAATGCCAATGCTAAAAGAATGTTGTGGTTGATTAATATCAAATGCTGCGCTAAGATCAAGTAACACTAATATGGAGATACAATCATGATCAGATGATAAATGCAAATCATTTGTAACTCTGATGAGAGGAGTCTCACTACTATGATATGGACTAAATCCTGACTGCAAGTCTGGAAGTCTGCAGACAATGATAATAGAAGTATAATATAGTGTTGCCACATGACCTCATTACATCACATGTGTAGGTGGGGCACTTTACAACAAGTGGTGTGTGAATAAACCCATTAAACTTCTAATTCTGTTGCAGGGATATTAATCTGATGTACCTGGTCCGTGAACCTGAAAATCCTTTGTCAGAAAAAGTAGAAACCTTGCGAAAGAGCGAAACAGAGGATGAAATAGATGAGTGAGTAAGACTTACGTTTATATAAATGTCTGTGATGTTGGTAGAGTGTGTTTTCAGTGGGTGTAGGTGTAGTACATTGTTCTTGTATTGCCACCATGAGGCCATTTAAAAAAATACTCCAGTGAAATAAAAATATAGTAATATTAATTAATTCAACTGTAGGATGGCAAGTCATGATTACTCAAATGTGAAACAGAGGTATTAATATGTAATGAAAAGCTGTTTCAGGCACAATATTCAGTGGGAAAAGATAGAAGATATAAAGTCACTAGAAAATACAGTCCCCACAGACATACATAATAAAATATGGTTAGAACACAATTTAACATTCGGTTATGTTATGTTATATGTGGTGTTGTCGTGCTTAGGTTATCTTTCCATAAGCTTCCATTTCTAGACATGCTTTATAGCATCTCAACGATAAACTTTCATGTTAAGTAAATTTTTTCTTAACTTTTTGGTGCAGATTTGAATGGCAAATGTATGTCAACAGTATCTTTATAGTCCAGTGTTTCTCAATCCTGGAAGCATGAAGATAGAATAATAAGATAGAATCAGATGTGTCTAATAAGGGAAAATGTGTTGTGCAATTAAGAAACTTTGGTCATTTATATAAAAAATCCTGTGAATTTGGATGGACCAAAGTTCCAAACCGTTTGTGTATGCTATGTGTTGTTGTATAAGCTAACAAAAATGCGTCTTTGCAGCTACAAGGCCGTTTTGAAGGAAGCTCATCAGCACGAGATCAGGAAGTGTGATGTAGTTCTGTGCACCTGTGCTTCAGCACTGAAACCCGAGATCCGGGAGGTCATGGATTTCCGGCAGATACTCATTGATGAATGTGCCATGGCGACAGAGCCAGAGGCCTTCATCCCTTTAGTTTCCTACAATCCACAGCAGGTGAGCTTGGGGATGACATCATCATAATCGGTTTCTGTTTAAAACAAAACAAAAGACACAACAGATTCTGGCAGGTGGAGAAGACTTGTGATTTGCAGCATGTTGTCTCCAATTCTGTCCAAAATCGCCCCCATATACGCTGATTTCACGCAGCCGCCATTTTGAAATCGAAAGCGAAGCTCCGGTGGGAAGAACCCCGGAAATACAGATACACAACAATGCCTAGGACTACCAACCTGAAGCTGCTGCCGCGATTTACATTACTGGATGTTAATATACAATATAGCATACTATACATAGTTCGTTCCTGCTTTTTTACTTTAATGAATTATATTTTAAAAAATAATTATAAATGAATTTTACTGTATATAGTGTAAAGTATGAAATAAATATATGTACAGTTTAAGAATAACTCATTTCCACATTGAACACAACAATACGCAATCGCATTCGCGACTCTCTAGTGACTAAAGGGTGCACTTCCGGTTACTTCCCACCGGAGTCTCGCTTTCAATATCATTCAAAATAATGAAATCAGCGTATTGTCTAAAAAAAGTGCAAAAACGATTTCATTACTTATATTTTTCTTTTTATATGTACAATACATTTTGATTTATTGTTTCCTGTCTGAAATATCGTACACAAAAACATGTCTTTCTTGACTCAAAATAACTTGTTTTTATTTCCAAGATCTGACAACAATGCAGAATACTACAAATTGTAATATTTATCCACATACATAATGCTTTTTTACACAATATTTTTAATTGGCAGTGCTCATTATATACTAGGGGTGTAACAATATCATGTCACAATATATCGCAATACAAAAATGCAACAAAATGTTTCGTGGATAGTGTGGCAATATGTATGGTGTATAGTTCACCCAAAATAAAAATTACTGTGTGAGAAAAAAATCAAGTTTACAGAGTTTTAGTGTCAGTACTACATTAAACTTCTATATATAATGTTAAATATAATGTATATTTGTGGGTCCTGAAAATGCTAGTCAGTGAAAGAGTGCAAGCATATTCATTTAAAATAATTCTGTATTTTCAGCTTCTGAATCATGAATATTTTTGTTCTGGTGTCACTATTGTCCTGTGCATTAAAATTTAGCATTGTAAACAACAGTCCATTTTTAGTATCACAATAATATTACATAATATTATGATGGGAATCATTACCACCCCTATTATATACTATGCATTTTTAGTAATTCTCAGTGTATACTATATAGCCACATTAGGAGTGGCAGACAATCATATGCATCTTCACATCGAATGAAAATCTCTGGTTTCCTTCACAGATTGTTTTGCTGGGTGACCACAAACAGATACGGCCCATAGTGCAGTGTGCCCTAGTGAACAAGATGGGCATGAGGCAGTCTCTGTTTGAACGCTACATGGATCTGGCCATAATGTTGGACACTCAGTACAGAATGGTAGGAAACAATCAACAGAATCTGAACAATCGTTTTCATTTTGCTTTGATGTTTAACAAATGCACATGTATGTTAGCATGAAGAAATTTGCAGGTTTCCTTCAGAAGAGTTTTACGAGGGCAAACTGAAAACAGGAGCTGAACGAGGACCCCCCATCCTTCTTAACAAGAGAGGATTGCCGACGCCCATCTTGTTTGGCCACGTCCAAGGAGAGGAAGTCAGTTTAGTGGTGTCTACAGAAAAGGGCAACGAGAACTCAATGGCCAACACTGAGGAGGCCGAGCAGGCTGTAAGTCCAACACCGCCTTCAGTTCACGAGCCCACACGAAAAACTCATAGACTGTAAAAATATGGACAAAGCGTCTGTGACGTCACCCATAGGCTTTCTGAAGAACGGGTTTGAAGCTGTTTATGGGGGGTATGGGGGGCGCTATACTGGAAAATCTTGGAAAATACAAGTTTCAGAAAGGATACAGAGGTGGCATGATGTGTCGTGTCAGATCATGGCCGAGACGTCAAATTCACTCGGCGCAGCCCGTTATCAGCTGTCAATCAAAGTTAACCGCCCTTATTTGTCATACGTTTTATATCTAAATATGATCTAAACTAACGAGTTAGAAAAAAATTCACCCCCCTCACAGTTGTCAGGCACGCAGAACATATTGAAGATTATAATAAAAGTCCATGGGACCAAACTGTAAACATATGAATTTATGCTGTGAAAACGGACATTATAACATGACGTCTATGGATATTTGCTCCCTTTTGGGACCGGCCTCTAGCGGATTTGAGATGTATTGCAGTTTATCGCACTTCCGGGTAGGCTTCATGTTTCAGATTAGAATGTTGCCTCTTGGAAAAACCACAAGAATTCTCCAATAGGAATTTTATTAAAGGAGTAGTTCACTTTAAAAAAAACTTTTGCTGATAATTTACTCACCCCATGTCATCCAAGATGTCCATGTCTTTCTTTCTTCAGTCTGGATGAAAACATTCCAGGATTTTCTCCATATAATGGACTTCAATGGGAACCAAACGGTTCAAGGTCCGAAAGACAGTTTCAGTGCAAACTGTTCCAAGGGCTTTAAACGACACCAGACGATGAATAAGGGTCTTATCAAGCGAAACGAGCATTTGTGCTTATAATAAAACTTATTTTTTTAAATGAGCGATCGTTTCGCTTGATAAGACCCTTATTCATTGTTTGAAATTGTTTAAAGCCCTTTGAACAGTTTGCACTGAAACTGTCATTTGGACCTTGAACCGTTTGGACCCCATTGAAGTCCATTATATGGAGAAAATCCTGGAATGTTTTCAAATACCTTAATTTCTTTTCGACTGAAGAAAGAAAGACATTGACATCTTAGATGACATGGGGGTGAGTAAATTATCAGCAAAAGTTTTTTTTAAAAAGCGAACTACTCCTTTGAGCTCCTCCTCATTTGTTGATTAATGAATCACGAAGAAAGCAAGTTGATATTGATCCTAAGTTTGTTCCAGAAACATTTTTTGTAATGCTGGTTGAAAGTCATTAATCACCACAAAAATCTTTGTGTTTTCCAGGTTAATGTGGCAGATCTGTTGATCAAAGCACACGTGCCACCTCAGAATATTGCAATTCTGACCCCTTACAACGCACAGATGTCAGAGATCAAAAAGACAATGGAGGAGAGAAATATTACAAATGTCACCGTTTGCACAATTATGAAGAGCCAAGGTGTGTTATTCTGATTGCATCAATCTAGAGTTTTAAATTCAATTCTTAATTGAATTTAAAATATTTTTCATCGATACAGTAGCTTTGATTTTATTATCTTATTGTTTATTTTTGTTTTGTTTTTATTATTTTTGTTTTTCTCTGTGTAAGCTCCTTTGGTAAAGCTCGCTTTAAAGGCACTATATAAAATAAAGTTATTATTATTATTCAGCTTTTGTGGGGATAATGTGGGACATTCAAGAGTCGCTGACTTTCCTCTTTTGTTTGAGTTTAACAAGTATCAAAAAAAAAAAAACACACAAACTGAACACTACCCCAAAAGGAAAATGATAGTAAGACCTCCATTCATCTTCGGGAAACAGTTTTAGATATTTTAGATTTCTGTCTAAGAGCTTTCTGTCCCTCTATTGAAACTGTATGTACGGTGTACTGTCCTTGTCCAGAAAGAAAATAAAGACATCATCAAAGTAGTCCATGTGACATCAGTGGGTTAGTTAGAGTGTTTTGAAGCATCGGAAATAGATTTTGGTCCAAAAATAACAAAAAACTACGACTTTATTCAGCATTGTGTTGTCTTCCGGTTCTGTTGTGGATTTGCATTCAGTGACGCTGCCTTTCCTCTTTTGTTTCTGAGTTTAACAAGTATCATAAAAACAAACAAACTAAACACTACCCCAAAAGGAAAATGATAGTAAGACCTCCGTTCATCTTCGGGATGGATTTGCGTTCAGTGACGCTGCTGACGTGTATTCGGGTTCATATAAATATGACTGGGCAAAAAATGCAAGTCACTGAACGCGGATCCACAACAGAACCGGACGACAACACAATGCTGAATAAAGTCGGAGCTTTTGTTATTTTTGGACCAAAATGTATTTCCGATGCTTCAAAACACTCTAACTAACCCACTGATGTCACATGGATTACTTTGATGATGTCTTTATTTCCTTTCTGGACAAGGACAGTATACCGTACACACATGTTCAATAGAGGGACAGAAAGCTCTCGGACTAAATCTAAAATATCTTAAACTGTGTCCCGAAGATGAACGGAGGTCTGATGGGTTTGGGACGACATGAGGGAGAGTCATTAGTGACATAATTTTCATTTTTGGGTGAACTATCCCTTTAAGTGTAAACTGCTGTGTGTGTGTGTGTGTGCAGGAAGCGAGTGGCCGTATGTGATCCTCTCCACTGTTCGATCCTGCTCTGTGTCTGACATAAAAAGCCACACACCAAGTAATGCCTGGCTTGGGAAAAGACTCGGATTCATCACTGATCCAAATCAGGTCAATGTTGCCATAACTCGTGCACAGGATGGACTGTGCATTCTGGGTAAGCAGTGAAGAATGCATATGTGATGACAAATTTTATTAAAATAAAAATGTTGTTTACACCTTATTTTAATGTGTAACAGAGTAATATTAATTAACAGTATGAACTTAGTGTAGGGTTAGTGTAGGATTAGGGTTTGGCTGAGTTGCATGTACACCACCAGTTAAAGGTTTTGGATCGGTAAGATTTTTAATGCTTTTATAAGGAGTCCCTTCTGCACACCAAGGCTGCAATTATTTGATTAAAAATACAAACAAAAACAGTAATATTTGGAAATATTATTACAAGTTAAAACAGCTGTTTTCTATGTGAATGTGTAGTAAAGTGTAATTTATTCCTGTGATCAAAGCTGTATTTTCAGCATCATTACTCCAGTCTTCAGTGTCACATGATCCTTTAGAAATCATGATAATATGGTGATTTGATGATAAAGAAACATTTATTATTATTATTATCAATGTTGAAAACAGTTATTTACCTGAAATAGAAAGATTTTGTGACACTAAACACTACCGTTCAAAAGTTTGGGGTCAGGAAGAAGGTTTTATTTTATTTTTTTATAGTAAAAGAAATAAAAGAAATTAATACTTTTATTCATCAAGGATGAATTAAATTGATCAAACGTTACAGTAAAGTCATTTATAATGTTAAAATAGATTCAATTTCAGATAAATGCTGTTCTCTTGAACTTTCTATTCATCAAAGAATCCTGAAATAAAAATGTAAATAACTGTTTTCAACATTGATGATAATAATAAATGTTTCTTGAGTGTCAAATCCTCACATTATCATGTTTTTTGAAGGATCATGTGACACTGAAGACTGGAGCAATGATGCTAAAAATATAGATTTGATCAAAGGAATAAATTACATTTTTAAATATATTAAAATAGGAAATTTCTCATGTAATATCCCCATTTCTGTTATCTCTTAGGTAACAGTGAGCTGTTGAGATGCTGTAAACTTTGGAACAGACTCCTGGATCACTATTACAGAAAGAGCTGCGTGGTGAATCCAGCGAGTGACATCAAGGTAGAAGCGCTGCCGAAAAGACGACGGAAACAGAAAAAGCTCTGAGTGTCACGGCAGTGGATAAAGTATAAAGCTTGTTTCCGCCACTGAATAAAAAAATAATAATAATAGTGACTTTTTATCTCACAATTGCGAGGTATGAAGTCAGAATTGTGAGAAATAGTCGCAATTGTGAGATATTAAGTCGCAATTCTGAGAAATAAAGTCACAATTGCAAGATATAAAGTCGCAATTGCGAGATATAAAGTTGCAATTCTGAGAAATAAAGTCGCAATTGCGAGATATAAAGTTACAATTTTGAGAAATAAAGTCACAATTGCGAGATATAACGTCACAATTCTGAGATTTAAAGTCACAATTGCGAGATATAACATCACAATTCTGAGATATGAAGACACAATTGGGAGATATAAAGTCGGAATTTTGAGAAATAAAGTCGCAATTGTGATAAATAAAGTCACAATTGCGAGATATAACGTCGCAATTTTGAGATACTAACTCGCAATTCAGGACAATTCGCCTTTGGCTAAGCCACGCCCTAGAATGTAGATTGACCAATCACAGCGCAAACAAGAACGAGCTCCCACAGAGGTCCGACACTTTTTCACAGCGCTCCATGGGCTATACGTATGTATGCACACTTAAGTTCCGCATTTGACGCAAGGATCAGTTTCCGGTTGGGGAGATTAAAGCGGAGGAAAACCGAAGAAAACGGCATTAGGGCAGAGTCTTCAAAATTTACTGTCCTCCCGTCTTTGAAACAAAACTTTCTTACGTTTAGATGTAATTTTATATATATTTATGATTATTTAATATAATTTTTAAAAAGAAGCACAAACACAACGAGGGGTGTCTGTTTTCGTGACTAACGTTTCTTTAGTATAAGTATAACCATGGAGTATAAAATTCAATATAAATTCTCGTTATTGCATTGGACTCTATGATCGGCGGAAGTTATCGAGCATCCTTATATATTCACCGGAAATACCGCCGTGCATAGAGCCCATAGACTTTCAACACAGGCGTCTCATATTTTTGGTCTCGGCAGGCTATTACCGTCGTAGTTTTATCAAAAATATGATTAAACGTTGTGCCTGGGGCATTTATAACACAGATACGCGTTTCCCAGAGAGGTTGGAGGGGGTGTCCGTTTTTTCCCTTCCCAAAACCGAAGTAAAATCCTGACAAGTGCACGTCATCTTTGGATTAAACTGTATGGACGTCCTCAGTCAACCCCTCAAAGATCAACAAGCACATCTTTTTTGCTTCTAACCTTGCTGTAAAGTTATGCCAGTTAGACCGTTTTATAAGGTTTTAGGTTATGATTTCAGTTCTCATACCGGTTGTTGATACGCTAGCACGCGCTGCTAATAAATTGTGTAGTCCGTTTGCTTTGTAATAACGATTATAGAAGTGTATAGAGACCTACCCAGCTTTGCATGAACAGCGTTGCTCCCTGATATTGTTAGTCCCAGCCTCCGTCTTGATTAGTAGGATATGCGGTGGTTCATTTTTTGACTGACCGTTATTTGGATGCCTTGCTTGTTGTTTCTTGCGTTTCATCTGTTGCCTATGTCTTGAATATAGCCTTCGAACGCATATTGCAGCCACTTTTGCCTAACAGTTACTTCTATCAGACACCTTTTTGCTGCTTTATAAAAGTGTGATAACATTTCAGCAGGAAGAGCTGTCACAGCATGAGCCATGTTGATACCAAATCAGAGCCCAGATGAAGTTTGACGGAAGTAGCAACAGTAACTAAGGGAGGCGGGGCTTAGCCAAAGGTGAATTCTAAGGAAAAAAAAAATACTTTTTCCCCCTCAGAATAGTTTATCTCACAATTCTGACTTTACAACACTCAATTTCAACTTTATATCATGCATTTCTGACTTTATAACACGCAATTGTGACTTTATATCAATTAATGTAATTCTGTCTTTATAATATCACGCAATTCTGACTTTATATCAAGCAGTTCTGACTTCATCTCGCAATTCTGACTTTATAACACGCAATTCTGACTATATCAATCAATTCTGACGTCATCTTACAATTTTGACTTTATAACACGCAATTGCGACTTTATTTCACGCAATTCTGACTTTATAACCTGCAATTGCGACTTTATTTCAATTAATTCTGACTTTATATCTCGCAATTCTTATGTTATAAAACCCAATTGCGATTTTATATCACACAATTCTGACTTTATATATAGCAATTTTGAGAAGAAAAAAAAGAGTCAGAACTGTGAGATAAAAAGCCTCAATTAAAAAGCTTTTTTTATTTTTCATTCTGTGGTGGAAACAAGCTTCCAGAATAAAGTGGATAAGGTCCTTAAAGGACAAAAATGGCACAAAAAAAACTGTCATAAAAAAAAAAAGATCTCATTTTAAAGACTCTCAGCCGAAGAAAAAAAAGTGAAAATATTTTATTTTTGTACATTATTTATATATATATATATATATATATATATATAATATATATATATATATATATATATATATATATATATATATAACATGTTGAACTTAAAACTGCTAGAAAATCAAAGCCATAAATCTAAACAGGTTGTGTTCCACATTTGCCCCATTAGATACCAGTATAATAATTTATCCAATTATAATATGCTTAATAAGCAGAAAACAGGAATAAAGTGAGTATTCGCCTATTAGGCCAAACCTGAGAAAATGCCACCATCTGGTGTAAAAATGTACATTTTGAAGCCTTGCCATCCTTGCCATGAATGAAAGCCTGTGTTATGTTATTAAATAGCCCCGGGACTAAAAATTGCAGTTTTAACAGGCACATTTTTGTCCTTGAGGTCTTGAGTGGAACTATTTATTAAAGGAAAAGGGGTAAAATAGTAAAATTCCAATAAAAATATACATTTGTCTCAAAATGTATGCAGTTGTCATTAACACAGGCAAAAAACCTAACCTAAACAACTAATGTTTCCATGAAGATGCAAGGGTTAAAGAGTGATTCCTGAGTCTCTCGGGACATTACAATATAGAATGGAGAGACGAGAAATAAGCCTTGTGTTGACCTCACCTATCATCACCCACTAACTTTTTTATTTTACATTCTTACGATTACAATGTAGGAAATTGCATCAGCTGATCATAAATGCGTAAAATAATAAAATACTAACTATGGATTAGGAGGGATCTGTGGAACATAATTCCTGTGAAATACATAAGGTTAACTTTGAATAGAATTACATAATTTAAAATCTCAACCTCAAAATCCTTGTCAGGTCAACCTACAGAAAAAAGTGTGTTTTATTTTACTTTTATTATCATTATTTTTTTTTAAAGTTAAGTAGAACAGCTATTTTTGAAGCTATGGTTATTTCATATGAATTATAATGATGTGTGGACAATATAAAATATTTCCTTAAAGGGGCAGTTCACCCAAAAATGTAAATTATTTTACAATTCACTCGCCTTCATGTTGTTCCAAAACTTCTATGTATGACTAATAAACTTTCATTTAAAATGAAAATTTTTCCTGTTTTTTTTTTTTTTCTTTTTCTAAATCTGGCTTGCCGTATGAGTGCACAGTGATAATAGCGAGATAAAAGCCACATGCGAAGGATCATATTTCTGTTTTTAGTTTCTCTGGAAATAAGAGGGAGTGTGTGTGTGTGTGGTCACAGGGATTTGCTAGTTGCTGCAGTTTCATACTTTGTGTTGGCTACAAATCATTTGTGTTTCTGTATATCAGTCGGCCCTTCCAGATTCCCTGTGGTAACTCAGCGTCTCATTAAACACGAGCTCTGTTGTGTTGAGCCACAACGGGCCAATCACAGACTGGAAGGAAAAACAAAGAAAAGATGCACAACATAGCGATTGTTGTGAGTTTGTCAAGCTAAGCTGGATCTAACACACACACACACACCAACTGTTTATCGTGTTATATTAAGAGTGATATTTATGAAAATAAATGCACATTAAAGAAACAAAACAGTTTTAATCAGTTTAATATATAGGTATATATATAAATCTACATTTGGCAATTTGTCTATAGAGAAAATAAAAAAATAAAAAAGTTATTTGTTTAGAAAAAAATATTGGCCTCGATAAACAAGTAGGCTACAGGTATGAATATAGAAATAACTTAACAGATTTCCTGACAACTACGAAACTTCAACAGAACAGCAGGTGTGGCTCTCCGGGGAGCTCGAGGTTAGAGGTTAAAGGTCACTGGTATCCAGGAGACTGGTAGCCCATATTGACAGCTTGAGTCGGCTGGTTGAAGGCTTGTGGCTGCTGGTTGAAGGCTTGAGGCTGCTGGTGGATCGTGTGTACGGTGGAGTTGATGACCACCAGATTCTGGCGACGAGCCTTCAGCTCTCTGGCCATCTGACACCAGACACACACCGGGCAGCAGGTCACCGCGCAGCAGTCGTCCTGCATGGAACCCTTCATGAGAGAAAACACAATAAATCCAATGAGACGAGCAACTGAGGCCTTGTTTACTCCTGGTATTAAGATGGGTTTGGGTCGATCGGATCACAAGTAGATGAGAGAGACACATTCCTGTGAGACACACACCTGGTGTTTTAAAGGGATAGTTCACTTTGAAATTAATCCAAAATGTAGGTGTCTGTTTCCGCAGTATTTTCTATTTTGATATTTTTAGGTCGAACCGTCCTTGTCTGTCAGTCATAAGCCCGGAACACACCAAGCAGACGCCAACGAACTAGCGCTGATGAAAGCCAACTGTGTTGCCGCCTTTCGTCCCCTCTTGTCAAGGTAAAAAGCTGCACTTGAACACACCGAGAGAACTGCAGCCGACGGTCAGCTAGAATGTGCGTTCTGTGTCTGCGTGTAATGAGCAAACTGTCTATTTCTGCAGATATATTAGTCTATATTCGTCATTCAAAAAGGAAAACCGACGCTGCCGGCTACAGATACACATAACGTAAACAAAGCAGCTCGTGCTTACCTTTTTGAATATCAATCCTGCTTTCTTTATTCCACTCCACTCATGTTAATATTGAAATATTCACCAAGGAACACTCAGGTAAGAAGACGTAACATAAGAACAGCCTTCTGTTCTGCCTTTACCGTTTTGACTTCTTGGCTTGATTTTGCGTTTATTCTCGTGCACTGACTCTTTCACTAAGCTGAACAGCCAATCAGAGTTCTCTCTTTCCCCAACGGCCCGACGCCGATTCAACATGTCGAATCGCGCGAAACAAAGCCGACGAGGACTATTTTCCGCCAACGGCACGGAACTTAGCGCATCACACCGAGGAAACTTAGTTGGCCAACGCAAAAAATCTGCCAGATAGCCGACCGTCGGCTTGGTGTGTTCCGGGCAATGGTCAATGTGTCACCGAATCGTGAATCTGATCGACTCCGGACGAAAACGCGGATCAACATTGGCAACATATTAGTACAACATATTAAACTCTAGTGAAATAGCAAGGTAAACTATATGAAACATGAAATTAATACAAAAGAATGTTCCGGGATAACAAAAAGTCGGTGCTTTAGGATGTAACTTATTTTATTTACTAGATCTACCGACTAACTCACTACTATCATGTTGTTTATACACATTTCCAGACACGTTCAGTACAGTAATGTTACTTCATACGATCTTACTGTTACACTGAAATTGTTCACTAGTCTAGTGAACAATTAACCGTTTTCGTTATCATATCATACATTCACCTATGTTGACATTGCTGATTGTGAAAGATACACGAATAGTTAGTGAAATGGCTTATGCTATATAACATCACATGTCGGCTAAATGCAGTTTTGATCATGGTACGAGCACAGAGCATTAGTTCAACGTCAAGCTGATAAAGGTAGGCGATTTTTGTAACTGCAGTGGGAGTTTACATTAGTTTCCAGCATGTTGTGTGTGACTGTGATGCTTTCGCCGTTGCGTTGCAAGTCTCCGTGTGGCCGGTAGTGAATGCTCGCTCTTGAGATCGAGCACGCACAAGCACACGAGCGCTCTTGTTGCATTCTGAAACATCACCGCTAGAGGCCGCTAAAAGACGCATAGAGCACCTTTAAGCAGCTCAACCGTTTTCAACATTGATAATAATCAGAAATGTTTCTTGACTAGCAAATCATCATGTTAGAATGATTTCTGAAGGATCATGTGATCGTATGGGAGTAATGATCCAGAAAATAAATGTATATTAAACAGTAATAATTGAATTACAACATAGTAATTACCATGATCTTGTATCTCTCTCTCATACTGCTCCTCATGGCGAATGTGATGGGATGCAAAATGCCTCCGAAGCAAATCTCCAGCAGGGGGAGACAGAGACACTCTCCAAAGTTCTCACTGGTCTGACACATGAGGCAGTATGTGCACCAAAAACCACAGCAACCTGCCACAGGAACAATTTGGTTATGCTTTCGGTTCATAATAAATCTGCAACAATACTATGTTGTTGGCTGTGACACAAATGTTTATTTGCAT